GAGCTTTTACCGTTGAGCTGGAGTATAATGGATTATCGGCATATTCGGCCTGGGACAAGGCAAAGTTAGGGCAGCGGTTCCCAATCTTCTCTGACTCGCAATGGCGATTAAAAAGTATCTATAACCGCCGACTTTAAGTGGCCTGAAGAAAATGCCTTGGCCCGTGGAATTGCTCTCACTGCTCTCCCCGCTCTCCCGGAAGGCCGGCAGTCATTACCAGCGAGGGCTGTAAGGACTCCGAGGGCCCAACGCCCAAAGCCCAGCACGCGAGAAACGAGAAACAAGTCGGCGTCGTTACAGTGCCGGCTGTCCGGCCGCGCAACCCTCCGCACAGTGGGCCAGAAGACCGGTGGAGGCGGACAAAACTCCAGACGCGTTTTGAGCTCCAGAGTCGCTAAATGGGACTCGAACCGAACGTGTGACCCCACCAATGGATTCCTCGTTCGGAGAGCAATCCATTGGTGGGGTCACACGTTCGGTTCGAGGCCTGTTTAGCGACTCCGGAGCTCAAAACGCGTCCAGAGTTCTGGCCGCCTCCACCGGTCTTCTGGCCCACTGTGCTCCGGGCGGCCCGGAGCGCCGGCGAGGCAGGCAGCCCGCCGAGGCCCGGCGCGCCGACCCACGAAATATTGCCTACCTCGCAGGCGGCCGGCCGCACCTTGACTTGGAGCACACACTCCGCCACTCCGTCACGCCACAAGACGGATCGGGTCTGGGGGAGTCCGGACGCTCCCACTGCGAAGGGCGAGCAGGGCGAGGAGGATAGAGATGCAGGCAGGGCCGCGACGGGCGGGGCCTTCGACGCCGCGCTTCGATATTCGTCGAGCCGGGTCGCGGAATGCGCAATGTGCCGGTAGACCGGCTCAAATTTCCCGAAGGTTCGAAATGTCGATGCGCGGAAACGGAATTCGGTTCCTTTCCGGATTCTAAGACTCTGGAAATTTTTCGGGATTTTTGAGGTCACCGGAAGTGGTCCCGCACGGCAGGGTAAGTTAGGCGCACTGCCTATTGATAGACCAGTAGTAAAGCGGCCTTCATATTCATTTTACGGGCATATTCCATGAAACAAAAGTTGTCAGAAATGGTCAAATTAATAAAAATAAGTGATGTCTGATTTCGGAAACTCAAAATTTGCAATCTGGGTGCCTACCTGTAAGGGGCAACTGGCGTCTATTTTCGCACTGAGCCCCAAAATGAAGTGTATCAGGACGGAAAATCGTTTTGAAAATCGATTTGGCCCTTCTGGTGCTGCTATTTTGAGTGCCTAATCCCCGCCCGGTCTAACGGATTAATTGGAGGCCTTTAATGAGTATTGGCTTGTTTACGTTTGGGGGCGCGGACTGTGGTGAAGTCTGGTTACTTCTCGTTTTACTCGGTGATTTGTGAAGATCCAATCCCTGACACAGCAACAGCGCGGAAACTAGAACCGCACCAAAGCCACGCGGCGAAGGGCTGGAGCGCGGTGATCCGGTGCACTGCGAGGAAAGTCTACATGAGACCGAAGGCAAGACTGTTAGTTTTTAAGAGTTGGTTGGGAAAATAACGTAAGTGTCGTTTCATGTTAAAGCTAGTATAAATCTATTGGTGCCATTCATATAAGAACACTTTTAAACCTGGGAGTGAGGAGCGAGCCCACTAACAGTCTGCCTCACTTAAATTTGAACTGGCATATACGTAGAGTAACGCGGCAAGCGAGTTTTTACGACCTTTTTGACGAGAAGTGTACGCATGACGAAAAGCTCGTCCTATTCCGAATCTGCTTAGCTAAGTCAACGGTCTACTTAATACGCACTCTTCGGCGTGCACCCACAAGCGCACTCCCACGGGCGTATAGGACTCAATTTAACACACAGTAGAATGTACTCAGTTGTGCCCTGGGAGTATACTCAAATGAGTGCACGCTCGTGACGATCAATTTATTGGTCACAAAAGGTTCCGAGTAGGATGAATCTCTAAGACTAAAGTAAGTACTTGCGAAATGAGTTTCAACCGGGTCCATGCGAATGTGCTTTGGTGAAGCAAAGTAATCAAATCGCTAACTTTCATCGCACGCACAACATTTCAGTAAAGATCGGTGGGAGGTAGGGAAAAGTAAATCACAATGAAAGAGTTCTTGTTCAGAATAACATTTCAGATTAGACAGGCTAAAGGCCTGTCCATCTGGCGTTCTCTTTTACGTTCTCGTGCTTTTAACCTTCTCGACTGAATCTTCGGAAATCACCGAAAAAGTCAAAGAAAACGAGTTTAGCCACGAAACGGGCGCCCAAACGTAAACAATACAATACTCATTAAAGGCCTCCAATTAATCCGTTAGACCGGGCGGGGATTAGGCACTCAAAATAGCACCACCAGAAGGGCCAAATCGATTTTCAAAAAGTTTTCCGTCCTGATACACTTCATTTTGGGGCTCAGTGCGAAAATAGACGCCAGTTGCCCCTTACAGGTAGGCACCCAGATTGCAAATTTTGAGTTTTCGAAATCAGACATCACTTATTTTTATTAATTTGATCATTTCTGACAACTTTAGTTTCATGGAATATGCCCGAAAAATGAATATGAAGGCCGCTTTACTACTGGTGTATCAATAGGCAGTGCGCCTAACTTACCCTGCCGTGCGGGACCACTTCCGGTGACCTCAAAAATCCCGAAAAATTCCCAGAGTCTTAGAATCCGGAAAGGAACCGAATTCCGTTTCCGCGCATCGACATTTCGAACCTTCGGGAAATTTGAGCCGGTCTAATGTGCCGGGGAGACGATGTGGACGACGTGGAAGACATGGACGACGTGCGACGCGTTGGCCTGCCGGAAACCGGCGCGTTGTTTGGCCGACACCTCCGCCGGGCGCCGCGTCGATATTTGGCTATTTTCAACCCCCTCCAACCCCGCCACGCACCCTGCCCGCGCCGCCCCGACAGAGACACTTGGAGGTCGACCACCCCGTCATCGTCCCGGCCTGGCGGCCTGGCGGAGGGCCTTGAGGGCTTTGAGGGCGCCCCAGAGACTCGTCTGGCTGCCGACAGCCACCCTTCACTCACGCACGGCGCAGGGAAGGAGACGGACAAAAAAAGGCCGAACTGACAAAGTGCAGCTTGCTGTACAGTCCAGCGTATTGATACTGCGACTCGTGAATAAACCCAAACAAAACTGTTCTTTCGACTCCGCAGAAAAGTATTAATGAATGAAACGCGGTGGGCAGGCTTTGCGGGTTGTTGCCTCAGCCACAACCATGGACTGGATTCCAGACAGCGCCTGCTTAGGATATTCACAAGCTGCCCTTCGTCAGCAATGTGAGGCGGAGGGGCGCGGGGGGGGGGGGGGGGGGGGGTGATTGGCGTGGGCATCCCGTGGTATCCCCAGCGGGCCGGCCGGTTCTCCTCTTAGCTTGTCCTGCCCGAAGGCGAAAGGTCCCCGAGCGCAGTGCCATCAACATTTCATCGAGTCCTGCAAACTGCAAACCTGCAGGCGCCATCCCGACGCGTCCCGGATGGCGGTGAGGTCATGACCGCCTGCTACGCTCGTCTCATTGCGGACGTTGTTCCCCTGCCCTCAGTGGTGCCCGTCAACTCGGGCGCGGTTCGCCAGTGGCTTCGGGGCGGCGACCTGGACAAGCTGCAGCAGCTGGTGCTGGACGGCTACGGCGCGCGGCTGCTGGGCGAGTACTCGCCCGACGCGCGCGTGCGGGCCTTCATCCGGTGGCTGCCCAGCGGGCTGGTAAGGCTTGCGAACACTCCGGTGCACACTCGCGGCAACGGGCACCGAATCCTAAACCGCGTGTCCTCTGCAGAACAAGGTGGACGCCGCCCACGCCGCCGCCGCCGCCGGCCAGGTGTCCAGGCTGGAGTCGGCGCTGGGGGCGGGCCGCGCCAGCCAGGGCGGAGGCGCCGGCGCGCGGCTGCCCCTGGTCATGTGCAAGGACCGTGCGGGGGCCGGGCTCCTGCACAAGGCCGTCTTCCGGAGCCAGCGCGAGGTGGTGGACTGGCTTGTCACCAACTACCCCGACACGGTGCACCTCAAGGACCGGGTGAGTACGACCATCACGCACGGCGGCCACCTTGACCTCCTGGCAGCACACACGTCCCGCACGACCTCTGTGGTTGTGGTTGAGCCCAGCCTGTGGCGCGATTGATTTGCACCCCGCCCCGCCACTTGAGTGTGACCTTGTCAACGGCGGGCTCATACACTTACCCCGGCCCCGAACGCGCCCCGCGCCCCTCGCGGGCTGACTCGGGTCGGCCTATCTGAAACTTTGATACCTCGGGGTGGCGGGGCGCGGCGGTCCGCATCCTCAGCGGGGACAGGACGGACACGGTGGACACGGTGCGCGCCGGGACCGACCGCTTTGGCATCGACCCGGCGCGCAGCCGCACCGAGGCCGTGACCAGGCTCATCGATCCCCAGACTCATCTCGATACAGTTTCCGGCCCGAACGGGAAGGCCGAATCAGCGAGGAGTGCGAACCGGGAGCACACTCTCTGAGCACACGGCACGCACACGGCACAGACACGCGGAGAGCCGAGCGGAGGGCCCAGGCGAGGGCCGCCAAGAGAATGGCGGTTTCGATTTCCTTTACTCATCCCCCCCCCCCTCCCCGACCCGCCTGGCATTATTTTGGCGACGGTTGGTGCGGCGCCGGGGAAGGACGGCCGCGGCGATTTCTTTGGGGGTAGCGAGCAGACGTCTGTTCCAGGCAGAGGCCGGCCTGCCAATGAGCCGGTGCACCTTCGGTAGCGTGGGGTGGCCGAATTGATGGAGGCTTCGTTCTGGGGGTCGGAGAGTGCGGGTTCGATCCTGGACAGATCCCTGCCATTCGCCGTATACATTTTTTAAAGCCGCAAAGGGCGATGGGGTTGCGTCCAATGACAGCGGTTTTTATCGTGTGGCGCGAGGTGCGGCGCCACCACTACGTTATTCCAGTGCAGTGCAGTGAACTGAAAGCGTTCCGCCCCCAGGAGGGCCGCACGCCGCTGCACTACTGCGGGGCCTGCGAGGACGCCGACGGCATGTGGCAGCGGCTGGTGGACGCCGGGGCCGACGCCGGCGCCAAGGACAACCGCGGCCGCACCGCCGACTACTACCTGGAGAAGTCGGACGAGCTTCGGTTGCCCAACTCGCCGCAGCACCCTGCCGAGTCGCGGGGCAAAACTACTGACAGTAAGTTACCAGGGTTCGAATCCCGCCATTTCTTTTTCAGAGGACACTGTCTTTGTATTCTTTTTCTGACGGTTCCGGACATTGACCTGTCCGAACGCGAGCACAGGTGCGTCGTTGCCGCTTGTTGGCGTGGCTGGGTGCGACCGATGCTCTGTCCAGATAGCAGTGCGGTGTGCACCTAGCCCAGCGGTTCCCAACCTTTTGCGGTTCGCGACCCCAAATTTGTAGCCAAAACTTTCCGCGACCCCCAGGAAAAATTTCGCGACCCCACGCGACCCCTCCTTGCCTTTGTTATGGAGTGCGATTATCTGCCTTAGTTTGGGAGCAGTATTGCCGCAAAGTTGATCAAAACGGTCACAAATGTCTTAAAAAATCGTGTTTTGGGCCGACTTTAAGCATCTACTGCGTCTGATCCGAGGCGGTAAATCGTCCTCCCTCAACGGGCAATTGGTCTTTGGACGTTCCTTTTGCATGCCTTTGTTACGGAGTGCGATTATCTGCCTTAGTTTGGGAGCAGTTTTGCCACAAAGTTGATCAAAACACGATTTTTCAGACATTTGTGACCGTTTTGATCAACTTTGCGGCAAAACTGTTCCCAAACTAAGGCACATAATCGAACTCCGTAACAAAGGCATGCTAAGGTAAGGTCTAAAGACCAATTGCCCGCTGACGTAGGACGATTTACCGCCTCGGATCAGACGCAGTGGATGCTTAAAGTCGGCCCAAAACACGACTTTTTTACAGACATTTGTGACCGTTTAGACCAACTTTGCGGCAGTACTGCTTCCAAACTAAGGCAGATAATCACACTCCGTAACAAAGGCATGCAAAAGGAAGGTCCAAAGACCAATTGCCCGTTGAGGGAGGACGATTTACCGCCTCGGATCAGACGCAGTGGATGCTTAAAGTCGGCCCAAAACACGATCTTTTACAGACATTTGTGACCGTTTTGATCAACTTTGCGGCATTTAAGCAGCCAGTGCTCGGCGTGTGGGCCAGCCGGGAAAACACCGCGACCCCAGGCGACCCCAGCCACCTCGCCGCGACCCCTCGAAATTTTTTCGCGACCCCAAGGTTGGGAACCGCTGACCTAGACAACCAGGGCCGGTTGCCCCCGCGATGTGACGGTCACCCCATCTGCACTGTCCGTCTGCACGGTCCGTCGCGACCCGCCCAACTTTGGTCATTACGAGCACTCCCCGGCCAGGCTATTGCCCCGCCCCGCCCCGCCCCGCTGCCGGCCCGCGGCCCGCCGAAATTGATTTTGCAGCGGGGCTGATACATGCACGCTCCTCGGCCCTCGGCGCCGCGAGCATTCACCCCCCGCGCCCCCCTCCTCTCCGGCCGGCGCCGCCCGGGCAAACATGCAGTGTATGCAGGCAAGACTGTTCCCACGGTGTAAAACGGCGCGGCGTTCGCGGCCCGTCGATCATGCATCGCGGAAAAACAGGGAAAACCCGCGGCGGCCGCCCCACACTGTGCACGGTACGCCACAGGGGGCGCCGCCGGGGAGAAAAGGCAGGACGATGACGTGAGGCGTGTCCACCGTGCCCCGCAGGCCTGGTGGTGAAGCCGGCCAACATCCGCATCTGGATCCACGACCGCGACATGGCCAAGCTGCAGCAGCTGCTGTGGGAGGGCCACGGCGCGCGACTCCGCAACCAGACCAGCAAGTACCCCATCGTCAAGCGCTTCCTGGAGGGCGTGCCGTTCGTCATGGTGAGTCGTCCTGGAGCACCTTGCAGTGGTGTGACTTCCAGCACCTCGATCTGGTTTTCGCTTCGGCGTCGCTCACGGCGTTGCTTCCCAGGGCGCCATCAAGGACGTGCACGCCGCGGCCGTCAGCGGCGACGTGGACGCCTTCGTGAAGCGGTCCGCGGACCCCGTGCCCAAGGACATCCTCACCAGCAAGGACTCGAACGGGCTGACGCCACTGCACAAGGTGACTACGGCGCGCTCGCGTACCCCTTCTCGCCCACCGCGGCGCGGCTCAACTTTGTGTTCTCTCCGCGCAGGCCGCGGGGCTGGGCCACGGCGCCATCGTGGACGAGATCCTCCAGCGCGCCCCGAACGCCGCGTCCGTCACGGACTCGGAGGGCCGCACCGCGCTGCACTACGCCGCGCTCCCCAAGGACGGCGGCGAGGTGTACAACAAGATCGTGCGCGCGGGCGCGGACGAGCTGGCCCAGGACCACGTACGTACACGGGCAGTGCGCCGCTCTGTCTCTGTCGCACTCATGGGGCGTCGCGCAGTGGTGCGAGAGAGACAGAGCGACGAAGCGGCTGTTCGGAGTGGCTCGGTCGGCCGGAAGCCGAAGCGGGCCGAACAGATTGACGGAGGGGCGCGCGAATTGAAACAGTGACTCAGGGCGTTCCTGGCTGTCTGCCCACGTGGAGCACCGCGGAGCGCGAGCACCACAAGAAGGCCAGCGGGCCGCCGAAATGGAAGCCGCCGCGAAGGTCGGCTCATCCACCGCCTTTGTTCGGCCCAGGGCCAGGTGGGGGTTCGGCCCAGGTGGGGGAGGGAACTGGAAAGGGGCAGGCGGCCTCAAAGGCGCACGGCGCAAAACGACGCATTGACGGATCACGGTGTTATCGTCTATCGAGCGACGCCCACGACGCCCACACCAGAAATCAGAATTCAGGTTCGTCAGTTCATTATTCGCCTTCAACTCATTTTCTCATTTTCCTGGTCTTCGGCAGCTCGGTCGCACCGCCGAGCACTACAGGAGCAAGCCCAGCGACATCGACGCGGCCCTGCTGCGGGTGGTGCCCGACGCGCCGCGGACGTCCGCCATCTACCCCCCGGGCTGGGACTGGAACGTCATCAGCGACCCGACGGCAAGGGTGAGGAATGGCCTTGCATCCAAAACTATTATTTATTCATCTCGCGAGCGTTTTCGAGAGTGATTCACTTGGCCGCTGCTGCAGGTGACGAACGGCCGCCGGGTGTACGAGAACGGCGACAGCGAGAGTGCCAGTTCGAGAGACAACGAGGTGAGGACGCCGCGACGCCAGGTCGCCGATGGCCTTTCCTACTTGCTATCACTTTACTACTTAGCAGCCCTTTCTTCTTACTCTCGAAATCTTGGAGCTAATCCAGTTACTATTAGACTTTGTTTAAGCCTTGTACAAAGCAGTTAATGCTCAGTCGTGCCTTCTCGTTGGAAAACATGTCTGTAGTGTAATGGAGTCGCGGCCTTGATCACTAGAAATCTAGACTGGGAAAACGAACGGTCGCTACGGCTCCAGTGCGCCCCACTGCCTGGTTTCGTTCAACGCCGACCCTTCGCCCCCACCCACAAGGCGCTTTGGAATGGAGCTGGTCGTCAGGGACACGGCGTGGGCTGGCTTGCCAATCTGGGGAGACTGGTGGAAACCGGCGGTGTTGAACGTTAACGGATTCGGAACTTCGGAACGCGCTTCCCGCTTGGCTCTTGGTCTCGGCTCCACTCCGGACCCTCCGGACGCAACGCAACCCGCAACGCTGGGCCTGCTCTGCCGCGGCCAGTCGCACTGTGCATTGCAGCATTGCACTGTGCGTTGCAGCATTGCACTGTGCATTGCAGCATTGCACTGTGCGTTGCAGCATTGCACTGTGCATTGCAGCATTGCAGTGTGCGTTGCACCACTGCTTGCCTCTAACGGAGTGTTCCCCACAGGACGTTGTCACGCCGCAGGGCAGTGCGGAGGGGGGCGACGCCCCCAGTGAGGATCAGGGCGGGGGGGAGGTCAACGGCCAGGATGGCGACGAAGCTGCGGCCGAGGACGCGGCGCCCACCGACGACGGCGATGTCGCCGAGGGTGGCGGCGAGAGCGGCGAGCTGCCACCGGAGGCGGCCGCGGCCTCGGCCGACCTTTTAGAGTCCGCTGGCGAAGTCGCTGAGGCTGCCGTCGAGGCCGCCGAGACTGCAGCTGCCGAGGCCGCAGAGACTGCATCTGCCGAGGCCGTAGAGACCGCATCTGCCGAGGCCGCTGACGACGGGGATGGAGCGGCAGAGGCCGCCGCGGCTGCTGAATCTGTTTCTGAGGACGCGGACGCCCCCGCCGAAGCCGCTGGCGATGCCGAAGTTAGCGAGGTAGGCGGTGGCGATGGCGAAGGCGGGGTTGAGGTGGAGGACAACGGCGAGGTAGGTGGCGAGGACCCAGAGCCGGAGGAGGGCGGCGAAGAGAGGGACGAGGACGCCGAGGAGGTCGTCGTGGAGATTAGGCAGGAAGAGCAGCAACCCGAAGCCTCAGACGAGCAACCGGAGGGGGAAGCTTCTGAGGAACAACCTGAAGGAGAAGCTTCTGAGGAACAACCGGAAGGGGAAGCTTCTGAGGAACAACCGGAAGGAGAAGCTTCTGAGGAACAACCGGAAGGGGAAACTTCTGAGGAACAACCTGAAGGAGAAGCCTCTGAGGAACAACCGGAAGGAGAAGCTTCTGAGGAACAACCGGAAGGAGAAGCTTCAGAAGATCAACCAGAAGGTGATACCCCAGAAGAAGCCTCAAGGGAACAACCTGAAGCGGATGACCCGCAAGCTAGTCCGCAAGGGGAACCTGAAGGGGAAGCCTCGGAGGAACAACCGGAAGGGGAAGCCTCAGAAGAACAACCGGAAGCGGAAGTAGAGGCAACCAATGAGGAGGTGTCTCAGGACGAACGCAGCGCCGCCCCAGCTGAAGAGGCCGCGGGCGACGACGGGGAGTCCGGAGACGTCCCTGGAGAAAAAGAAGATGGGGACGGTGACGGAGGGGAAGACGGCGGGGAGGGTGGTGATGAGACTGGTGCGGGTGGTGGTGACGGCGACGCAGCGGACGGTGCCGGCGATCAGGCCGACGATGAGGCCCAGGACGGCGCTGACGGGGGCTCCGAGGCCGCCGCCGACGCCCCGTCGGACGAGCCGGTCGGCCAGCAGGAGGGGGAAGGGGAGCAAACGAGGGAGCCCGAAGAGCCGAGAGTGTCCGAGGACGCCGCGCGCCCCCCGCCGGTGAGTGCAGGAGAGCGATGGCCTGCACGGCCTCGGCCCGCGTAGAGGCCGCCTCGCCACGTCTTGTTCACGCGTCCACGCGTCGTGTCGGCACGAGGCACTGGACCGCGAGGTGGAGGGGAACACGCTATGGCATGGGGCGTAGCCCGTAGCAGCGCATGGGCGTAGCCATGGCATAGCGCGTAGCATGGGCAAGCACGCACAGCCCGGCGCGTTCCGAAAGCACGCCCCAGGAGACTCATCCCGAAAGTCGTTTTCGTCGCTCTGTCTCTCTCGCACCTTCGCACATGGGACGCCCCAGAGTGCGAGAGAGTGCGACGAAACCGATTCTCGGAATAGGTCGGGGGCCAGGCGAGGGTCACCTGCTTCTGGAACGCCCTCGGAACACAGAGCACGGTGAGGGTTGGGGCAGGGGCGGCCAGAGTGGCCGCGGAGAAGGGAGTCTTCAGGCTCGTGAGGGCCACCCGGGGCCACCGCCGTGGGGGCTCCCTCCTTCGCCGGACCAAGCTTCGCGACGCCGCGGCCCAAAGCCACGGCCAAGCCGGGGGCACACTGGCAACACGCTGGAAACGGACGAGGCTTGCTTGCAGACCGCGGAGGAGATCGCGACGGTGTCGCTGCTAGCGCCGGGGGTGCACCGCCGCCGCCAGCGCTTGGCGCGCATCGTCAAGGCCATCACCATGCAGATATACATGGTGGAGCGCGCGGCGGCGCGGCGGGAGGTGGACGCGACGGCGCCCAAGCGCGAGTCGCTGGCGCGCGCGCGGGCCCGCTGCCTGTGGCGGCTCGCCGACGTGGTGGTGGTGCGCACGCTGCGCTGGATGCGGCAGGGCTGCCCGCTCGAGGCAGACACCGACGCGGCCGACGAGGTGGCCGAGGTCATGGAGGACGCGGAGCAGCTGCTGGCCGTGTACTTCCCCGGCCACGGCGATTGGCGGCTGGACCGCGCGCGCTACATGTGGTCCCTGCTGCGCAAGGAGGTGTTGGACATGTCCGACCGCACGAGTGACTTAAGCGACCCGAGCGACGGCCTTGCCGACGTCCGCGACGGCAGCGCGAACCTGCACTGGGCCAAGCTGCGCCGGCATCTCGCCGAGGTGCTGGTCTTGGGTGGCCGCGGCGAGGACGGCGACGACTCAGGGGTAGGACGGCCTGCCAGGCCCGCCGTGCTCTGTGCTCTGTCGTGTCGTGGCGTTGCGTGGGGTCCATGTCTGCGTGTCTTTGTCTGCTTCTCGTGAACCTTTTTTTCATTGCTCTTTTAATTTTTTCGGTGGAAACATCAAATTCATCGTAGACGGAAATTGGAAATGATATCTATCGTTGGGAGCTACGAATCTCATGTATACGCACGAAACTGGGGTAAAAAAAACCCTCGCTTTTCCAATAATCTATCCTAAATTTTCTACCATAATTTAAAATTTCTTCCTTTCGTTAATTTTGTTTTGCCTAAAATGGGGAAACGTGGTGTCCTGCGTGTGTTGAGATTGGTTTTCAATGTTCGTGCCTCCGTCCTGTGGTTCAACGTGCGCTTGCAGCACCTGTTCGTCGTCTTCTGTTTTGGTCTCGTTTGAAGAAACGAATGTTTTTGTGTGGAAGTGGGAGGCTGATTGGTGGTCTGTTTGAAATGGAAATCTCCGGGCAACTGCTTGCTTCTTCGTCGGAATCATTTAGCACCAATTCAACTAACGCCAGCAATATGTTCTTCACCTCTATGGGTTCCACCGTGACTTGACAGTATGTAACCACCCGCATCAAGACCGTGTTCACCTATGTGTAGATACATTAGAGAAAACACAGACTGGTTAAATGGCACCCGTGAATTCATGTTTTAGAGTAGTTATGTGTAATGTTATGTTACGTGGAATGCATTTTAGAGCAGTGTTCTAGACAAAATAACCTTTCTTCTTGGTCGGAGGGGAGTGACTACGGTCAATATCGTCAATAATTAAAATATAAATTATGCATGTGCTTCATAGAACTCACGTGCATGTGATAAATGTTCCTACATGTTTATGTGTTCAGAACAGTGCTAAAACGGATGTACGTTGCACCATCGTTCCAGTTGGAGAAGGTTGGTTTCTTGTCACCTATAAATAAAGTAAATTGGGAACCCCGGGTCCAACTGGACCGTTGGTTTTGAAATGCTAGCCATGCACTTTGTATTTACACATTATAGCCTGAAAATACGTTCACCCAGAGACCGTGCCCAAACTGCAACGGCCGATTGTAGGCGATTTTAGATCTGTGCTCAAGTCTCTCCTCCCTATGAAGTTGAGAAACAGGATTGCGGCCCAAAATCGGCCCTTTAGTTTTGGTACAGTCCCTGCCTTAGCGCACAATGGGATGAATGGAAGAAGTCGACTGGGTCTTTGTGTGATATTTCGGATTTGGCGCGCTCAAACATAGTTACTATTCTAGACGAGTTAAGGATAACCGCTCAAAAGTACTGACAAGTGTGTTCGCGAGAAAGGGGGAGGAAAGTAGAGGATCTGACTGATTTGTCGAAGACTGTTGTTTGCAATTTGGCATGAGAAACTGACGGTTTGTAGGAAGTCTGTTGTAAATCACGGAGACTGCACTTCTGTTTAATCCGATAAATGTTGCTTTTTTTAGTGTGGCACTGTCCGTTGCATGTCTTTTGTAGACTAAATAAAGTTGACGTAGAAACATAAACACTGTCGTTTCGTTTCATCCTTTTGCTCTAAACCGCAAAATAATAATACAAGAAAAATAAAAAAAAAATGATTAAATAATCTTTTAGCACACATTTAAATTAACATAAGCGGTCGGTTTTTACAAAATAAAAATAAGCTTAAACGCGTAGAAATAAAACATAGTGTAACAAGGAGTTCTTAGCGGCTGTGTAAGGGCGCTGATTCACCACTCCTCTCCTTAACCCGAGTCCTCGGCGTGTGGGTTCGCAGGGCGGCACGGGTACCACGGGTACGGGGCAGAGCGCCGCCACCACCGTGGCTCTCGACGGCACCCCAGACCTACAACCAGAACCACCAGACTCACCTGTATCACCTGAACCACCCGAACCCAAAACCCAAACCGACGAGAACCCGGAGGTAAAGTTGTGTGTGGCCCGTGTGTCGTGTGTCTATGTGTGTGTGTCACGACGCCGCGGCCGAGGGCCCCACCCCGCCCTGTCACGCACCACCCCGTGTCCCCGCACCGAGGGTTCGAGCAGCGTCGGCATCCGTAGACAGATCTCACGCCGAACACGGCAAAGTGCTCGCAGGCCAGGGGGAAGGGTCAGGGCGGCCAGAGCGCCACGGCAGGCCTCCCTGACCCTTCTGGCGATGCGAGGCCTGGACAAGGCCAACCCGACCGAACACGTGCTTTACATATTTAGCCGACGCATGTTTGGCGCGGGTAGGGCGGGCCTTGGGACCAGGGTGGTCCGCTGCATCATGCATCGCCGCCCTGGCCAAGGCCCCGGCCAAGGCCGCCAAGGCCGCCACCGAGGCCGGCGACCCTGCACCAACCTGCCCCGGCCGTGCATCATTGAGGGCCTCGGCGGCGGCAGGGTCTCGGCCGCACCGAATCGGACCCCTTCTTTATGGCCCGGGACCCAGGGCGCGTCCCATGCCCGAGGGCCGACGACTTAGGCCTCGGCCTTGCCGATCATGATGCAGGGTCGAGCCTTCCGCACGCGGGCGCCGACGCCGCGGCCGCTGGGCACGGTGCTGGCCGACGGCGAGGATGAGGAGGACGAGGGCGTCGGCGAGGACGACGACGACCGCGAGCTGCGGGAGCCGGGGCAGTTGTCCGAGGCCGAGCTGGACGAGCACATTGCCCGCGGCGATCTGACCGTGCTCGCCGACCTGGTGCTCAGCGGCGAGGGCGACCGGCTGCTGAGCAAGAACACCAGCAACCCGGAGGTGCAGAGCTTCCTGGACCATGTGCCTACCTATATGGTCCGTACCGAAAGAAGTCAAAACAAAAGACAAACGAAATAGAAATTAGTTTCGAAATGAATGTGCTAAATTCCCCGGCCTTGAAAACCGCAGAGCAAGATCCGGGCCGTGCACGACGCGGCGCGGACGGGCAACCTGCGGCAGCTGCAGGCCGCGCTGGACCGCCGCAAGTTCGCGGTGGCGAGAGACCGGCGCGCCGCGTCCGCGGCCACGCCGCTGCACCTGGCCGTGCTGCTGGGGCAGACGGCCGTGGTCCGCTACCTGGCGGGCCGCTTCCCGGAGACCCTGGTGGCGCGCGACCAGCGCGGCAGGACGGCGCTGCACTACGCGGCGTGCCTGGCCGACAACGGACACTACTACAACCTGCTGCTCAACCTGGGCGCCAACCGCACCATCAAGGACAAGGTGGCGGCCCGGTCCCTGCATGTCCCCTCCCACCCTGTCGACCCGCACCCCGCTCATCTTGGCCCACTTCTTTGCAGAGCGGGCGCACGGCCGACTTCTACCTGCAGAACCCCGCCTCGCTGACACACCGCCAGCTGCTGGCTGACATTGGTGAGCCGGAGAACATCGCCGACGAGACGTTCAGCGACAAAGGTACGTGCAGGCACGTGTGGCGTGGCGACCTTCCGCGGAGCAGAGTCCTGGTCCCTTGCACCGTGTGCGTCCTGAGACCGCCACCCTCAGCACTGTGTTCTCCCCCTTCCCGCGGTTGCCTTCAGTAGCAGGGGTGAATCTGTGAGGGCGTGGGTGTGCGTGGGCGTGGGGTACAGCCAGGGCAGGGCGCAGGGCTCGTCTCGGGGGGTATCTCCGTCCAGGCCAGGCTTGCCACGCTTGACGTTGCGTGCCGGTGCAGTGCCCAGCGACACGGTGTCCAGCCGGCGCGACGTGCACGACTCGGACGCCATGTCCATGATGGAGCGCTGCTTCCGGCTGCTGATGGAGTCCGAGGACTCGGACAGTGAGGACTCCGGAACGGCGGGCGCGACCGTCGTCGAGGTGCAGCCGCGGCCCCAAGTGGTGGCGTACCGCGACCTGCGCGAGGTGCCCGAGGCGCCGCCCGAGCGCGGCCACACTGACACCGCCGTCGTGCTGCGCTTCATGCCACGCCACGTGTTCGACATCTGCAAGCGGACGCTCACGCGCCGCGACCACAGCGTGCTGGACGTCCTGTGGCCCGCCATCCTGGACAAGCAGGACCGCGACGACGTGCGCAAGGACGGCAACCCGTACGCGCGCCGCGTCCGCGACTCGTACATGGACGAGGCGGGCTTTGTGGCTCCAGACCTCGAGTCGTACGCTGTCTTTGCGCCGCTCATGCTGCCCGTCATCAAGTTCCTCAACGGGCTGGACACGCGTGCCGCGCTGCGCGACCACCCCGCGTCGCAGTTCTTCGAGGAGCCGCTCGCGATGCGCACCACGCACTCCGTGGACGACGGCGGCGGACTGGCGGCGGCCGCGGCAGGCAACGGCAAGGTGTCGACTGGGGAGCGCGCCTCGGCCTCGGCCGCTCCGTCGCCCGTGTCCGCGCTCACGCACTTGGAGGTCCGCGCCGTGGACCACCCCGCCCTGGACCTGGACCCGACCGGGCGCGTGATCCTGCGCAGCGTGGTGCACGTCGGCCGCAACCTCAAGGACGTCCGCCTGCCGCTGGACATGACCGAGACGCAGCTCACCGAGGTGGAGGACGCGCTGCGCCGCGCGCTCCTGTCCATCGACGCGCGCCTGACCCCGCGGCAGCAGCCGGCCGCCACGCCGGGCCGCCGGATGAGCCAGCTGACGGCGCTGCAGGACGCCATGGCGCTGCAGAGCAACAACAGCGAGTACTTCTCGCTGCCGGACATCCCGGCCGCCACCAAGGAGCGCCTGCGCCGCTCGCGCCTCTGGCCGTACATCCCCCGCGAGCGCGACGGCGACGACGAGCGGCTGCGGCGGCTGCACGGCAAGACGTGGCCCACGGGCCGCGGCGTGTTCCTCAGCGGCGACGCGGCGCTGGCCAGCCTCGTGGCCTGGGTCAACGTGCACGACCACGTGCGCGTCATGGCGGCCTCGCTGGACGGCCGCGGCGGCCAGCTCGGCGACGTGTACCGCCGCGCCGCCAACTGCGCCGTCTCCCTGAGCCGCTCCGGCTGCCAGTTCGAGCGCGACGACAAGCTGGGCTTCTTGCTGGCCAGGCCGTGGGACGTGGGCTGCGGCGTGCGCTTCCAGGTGACGGCGCGCCTGGCCATGCTCGGCCGCGACCCCGACGAGCTGGCCAGCCTCTGCAAGTCCAGGGGGCTGCGCCTGCGCCGCACGCTGCACCCCGAAGTGTTTCTCATCGCCAACAAGCAGGTGCTCAGCGTGTCCGAGCACCAGGCGTACCGTGACTTTGTCACCGCCATGGCCAACATCATCCAGCTGGAGCACCGCGCCGAGAACCGCTCGTTCAAGCTGACGGCGGTGCTGAGTCGCATGTTCAAGCGGAGGCCCTCGTAGACCAGGACAGGACCAGACTGAGGCCGCGTCACCGTGGTGCCCGTGACGAACAGACTGGCCGTCCCCGCGGTCCCCGCGATGTGCCAACAGTGTAGTGTAGTCTCTTCCCTGAGAATCCCTGCCATCCCCAAAGTGACTGACGGCCCTGCGAGTGGCGGTGTCCGGCCAAGCCCGGCAGTGCCCGGCCACGCTGGGGTGCGAATAGTGGCGCGACTGCCAATAGCGGACGCCGTGCAGATCGTCGTGACGGAGGCCACGCCTCGAGGTTAGTGCGTGTTCGTGTCGTCACGTGTCGTGTCGTGTCGTGTCGTGCCATTCGTGTCGTGGTGTTTGTGTTGCATGCGCAGGGTGCCGGGCCGCAGGGTGCCGGGTCCGGCGGGCCGCCGGCGGACTGCCGGTGGAGGGGAAGGCCCAAGGATGAAAAATTACGCGCGCCCTCTCCGGGGGAGAATAAAAAGAAACAAACCGAATGCATCATTCCTTGCCAGCCCATCCCGTGCTCCTGCACGCTGCCTTTTCTCACGCAGAGTGCACCGAGTGGCAGCCTGCACCACCGCATCCCGCGCTTTGCCTTGGGCATGAGTGGCTTAATTACTCCAGTGTGGCCAGTGCGAACAGTCTATATGCACCACACACATACACTCACACACGCGCTCGCGTGGCCTGCTGAGGGCGCTCATCGATTAGCGAGCACTCACACTGACACACTGCCGCAGTGCCGCCGTGCCCGCCCCGCTGTTGTCTCTCTCTTGCAGCTTGCTTCCAGCCGCGTAGCATTTCCCGGCCTTGTCCAGCCCCGCCGGCGGCGCGCCGCCCCGCGCGTCGCGGTGCCCGCCGAGTCACGCCGCCACTCAATGTTTGATGCGGCACGCGGCACGGTGGCCGAGTCGGCAACGAAATCGAACCCCCGACGCGTGGGCAGGGTGGGCAGGGTCGCGAGTAGGGGAGCGAGCGGTAAACAGCACGGTGTCCGGAGACTGAAAAAATGAGGGGGAGGGGAACTTGTTCGGCTCCTGCAGTGCGTGCAGCTCTCCGCACTCGTCGGGCGTCGGGCTGCAGTGGCGCGAGGGGGAAGTCCGGTCGGCGGCGGGGCGGGAAGGCGGGAAGGTCTCCGCCAACGCAGCCAACGCCGTGGCGCCCAATGGCGCCGCACGCGGCCCCACGCCGCACCGATGCACGCATGCCAATCGTTGTATCGACCTCGCGCTGCCCCGCGCCGCGCCGGGCAGGGCCGGGCCGGGCTTGTCCACCTGCCTGTTGGTGGCCCGGCCCGGCTCGGCCAGCCTGGGGTGTAGCGTGTGGTAGCGTGGCGCAGCGCCCCGCCAGTGGCGCTCCCTCGTGGCGCTTCGCAGCCCCGGCGCGCTGGCGGTCAATTCAAGCCCGCCCGCCGCGCCAGCCCGTCGTCGCCCCGGACCCGCACTCGATTCGCTGCGATTCGCCCACCACCGTCGGACCTTTTCGCGCGCGCTCGCGCCGTGCCAGCAGCGCGACCAGCTCGACGTCGGCCGGCTTGAAGTCCAGCAGCAGCGAGCGGCAGCGTCGTGGCCATGCAGCAGGACGCGCTGAGGGCCGTCATCGCCAGCCTGCTGGACCGTACGTACCGGGCCACGGGCCTCTGGTAATCGCTGCGCTGCGTCGGCGCCGCCGAGGCCATGCAGGCCGCGGCAACGGACACGTGCATGTCGGTCATTTTGGTCGAGGGACAGGCCGCGCCAGGGCCGCGCTCTCATTGGCTGTCATTCGACGAATCGCTCGGCCTTGTCCGGCAGTGTGCTGACGGAGGGCGCGGTGCTGGCGGTGCTGTGCCACTTGAGTCGCCGGGATGAAACTTTGATGTCGCCGTGGCCACCGTGTGCCTTCTGGCCCTGCGGTGGGCGGCCCCGGCTCCACCCCGGCGGGCCCACGAGGCCGGCCGGCCATTGGAAGGTCGAACATGCATTACTCATTCCAAGGCAAACGGGCAACCACGGCGAAGACATGCCAAGGCCGGGGCCTGGAAGGGGAATGCAGCAGCCACAGCACCTAACAGACCGAGTTTCGGATTCTCCCGTTGGCGAATTCCGCGGGGCGTCCCGACGTTCCCGACCGGGATCCCTTTAGGAGCTTCCTCGCCGCGGGCCAGCGTGGCCGAGGCCGAGGCGGCGCCCGCGTTTCACCGAGTGCGGGGCCCAGGCCCAATGACGACCACGTTGCGTCAATCACCGGCCGCGCGGCGCGCTGCGGGGCGCCCGCCTCCAGAACTCGATATCAGTCACTGGGGCTCGGCCGGCGGACATGCAGGGGGAAGCGGCGCCGTCCTCGCGCGCGGAGAACGAAGCTCTTCCGGGAGAGCCTCAGGAAGACCCTCTGGGAGAGCTCCTGGGAGAGCTCCTGGAGGACGCCTTCGGCCAGCCCGTGGAGGAGCCTCCTGATGGTCCTCTAGAAGGGACGGACAACGGATTGCTAGGTCTATCTCATTCAAGGGCGCTTTATCTCTCCCCTTCAGGCAGTTTTCTTTTCAAAATGTGTTGTTTGAAGTGCACTCTTGATTCGCCCGCCACAAAAGAACGACGTCTCCTGTTCCAGACCCGTTGACTAAGGCCGCTCCCAAGCTGGGCACTTTGTTCGGTAGCGAGGATGGCAAGTACCTCGCGGCCGGTGAGTAGCATGGACAAAAGTTAGACTTTATCGGCAAAACCGTATTTCGGGTAGAGCGTTTAGTGTACCGTAGAACAGGAGAAGCAACGTGGAATAAAACGTCAGCTATTAGATAAGATTATTTGGTAGAACCATGCCACAGATTTAATTCGTTTGTTTGTAACTTAAACGTCTGTCCGCTTCGCACCCCTTTATCCACACGCTTCCTGCACTCTCGGCACATCGATACCTCCTAACGAGAAGCGCTTACCAGGACCCATGCCAATATATAACCGCTTACCAGCATAGGAAACCCTGCAGCGGTAAGCGGTTATGAATCGGCATAGGTGCCCGTACGCGCTTCTCGTTAGGAGGTATCGACATGTCCCCTATTCCGCAATACAAGCGTCCTCTCTGTCCTTTGCGAGACTGTATATACACTGCCACGAATCCAGTTCTGCGTCATTAGCCTTTCGACCCACCGACCTAATCGTCTCGCCGTGCTTGTCTCCGCAGCATTGGGCGAACCGCTCCTGCAGGGGCTCAACGAGATCGCCGAGAAGAAGCCTCGCGACCCGGTCGGCTACCTGGCCAACTTCCTGTACAACTTGACCATGGACGGGAACGCGCCGGCCGCGCCGGCCGCCGCCCCCGGCGCTGCACAGGTGGGGAGAAGTCGCCTGCAGTGGCATTGGAGGGCGCCCGGCAGGCTGGACTGTCCCGTCGAGCACCAGTGTGCAGCGGGACTGCCTACCCTGCAGGCGCCCGGCAGGCTGGACTGTCCCGTCGAGCACCAGTGTGCAGCGGGACTGCCTACCCTGCAGGCGCCCGGCAGGCTGGACTGTCCCGTCGAGCACCAGTGTGCAGCGGGACTGCCTACCCTGCAGGCGCCCGGCAGGCTGGACTGTCCCGTCGAGCACCAGTGTGCAGCGGGACTGCCTACCCTGCAGGCGCCCGGCAGGCTGGACTGTCCCGTCGAGCACCAGTGTGCAGCGGGACTGCCTACCCTGCAGGCTGCAGGCGCCCGGCAGGCTGGACTGTCCCGTCGAGCACCAGTGTGCAGCGGCTACCTGCAGGCTCAGCGGCAGGCGGACTGCCCGTCGAGCACCAGTGGCAGCGGACTGCTACCCTGCAGCTGCAGGCGCCCGGCAGGCTGGACTGTCCCGTCGAGCACCAGTGTGCAGCGGGACTGCCTACCCTGCAGGCGCCCGGCAGGCTGGACTGTCCCGTCGAGCACCAGTGTGCAGCGGGACTGCCTACCCGGCTGGCCGCAGGCGCTCCTGGAGGGCACCCGGCAGGCTGGATGGATTGTCCCGTAGAGCAGGCTATTGCTATTGATGGCGTGCTCCGCAGCGCGGAACAGTCCTCCCTCATGGCTCTGGTTCTTCTTGCCCGTGACAGGAAGGGCCGGTGCTGCGCGCCGAGGGTCTCCCCGACATGACCGCCGTCGGGAACGAAGCTGTGCTGCAGAGATCCGACTCCCAGGGGTCCGATCTGGTCCCGCCGGAGTCCGCGTTCAACGTGTCGAACCGGGTAAAAAGCGAAAAACAAAGCACTCAAGTTCAAATACAATGAAGTGATAACTAGCATTATTTTGGCTTGATTGGCGTGCAGGACGAGTTCGGGCAGTCCCCGCTGCACTTCGCGGCGGCGCGCGCGCACGGACGCGGCGGCCTGATGCAGCTCATGAACGACGTGGACCTGAACCCCGCGCTGCGCGACGAGCTGTACCGCACGGCGCGCGACGTGGCCATCCAGGCCGGGCTGCTGGAGAACGTGGCCGAGATCGACCGGTGGGTGCTGTCGCTGGCGGCGCGCGGCTCCACGGACAGGCTGGCCGAGATGCTGCTGGCGGGCTACGACTACATCCTGGGCGCGAGGGAGGGCCCCGACGTCGGCATCGTGGACGTGGCGGCGCAGCGCGGCCACAACGAGACCGTCGCCTTCCTGGAGTCCATCCCCGCGTTCGAGGTTCGACTCCCTTTAAAGCCTTGTGAATGAGTAAAAGGAGATTGTGGTACTCGAACCCGCGCCTTGTCCGCTTCCTCCAGGAGCGGCGTGACCGCGTGCTGCGCGCCGTGCGCATGGGGGGCGGCCAGGGCACGCAGGAGGTCGCCGAGCTGCTGCAGGTGGGGGACTCACGGGCGCGCCTGCTGGCCACGGCCAGGAACACCATGGGCCGGTGCTCGCTGCACGTCGCCGTGCTCTGCCAGCAGGAGCAGCTCGTCGCCTTCCTCGCCCACAACTTCCCCGAGACGCTCGCCGTCGGCGACAACGTGCGTACCGCGACGCAGTACTTTGTGAAGGCCGCTTTCGAAGGTTTCCCGTTGACATGTTTGTTTGGACCCGCAGCTGGAGCGCACCGCGCTGCACTACGCCATGGGCGTGGAGGGCGTGGAGTCCCTCAGCAAGCTCCTCATCAAAGCAGGTGCCAAGCGGGTTGCCAAAGACTTGGTGCGTTCCGTTTCCGCTTTGTTGTTTTGTTTTTGGTGCCCATCAATCATTGGTGATATTTTACTCTCATTTTTTTTCTCTTTTCTTTTGTTTTCCACCTGCAGAAGGGGCGTCAGCCTAGCTACTACTTCATGAACAAGAGCGACATTCAGAACCTGCAAGAGGAGGAAGAGGCTCAACTGATCTAGAAAGCGGAAGACTCAAGAGTGTGATAAAGTATTCAGAATTTCCAAATGCGTTCTGCTCCTTCTCGGGATCAACTGGTGTTTTGTAGGCATGATTCTCAGGTAATTTAGTAAGTTTTACGATAAGGTAGCAATAAGGGAACGATGTACCCATGGGGGACCTATTTATTGCTAATTGTAGTTTTGTTATGTTTATGTTATTTAATTAGTTTCTTTTAGTACATCACAAATTCAGAAAAAGACGAAGGGAAAAATGTAGCGATAGGTTCGTATAAAATCAAGTGCCACAAATTTGTAGAAACGAGAAAATTCACTGGGTGGTCGGTAATGTAACCCTAGCCTATTACAGACACTCTAAGCAGCTGATAAAAATGTGATTCTCGTCCAATAAACGACGATTTAACAAACGAAAACAAAAACAAGTGTCCCTTTATTGCTTCCTTGCCCCGTGCCGGCCACCAGGCCCAAGGCCAGGCCGCTGGCCCCCGCGCGCCGCCTTGGTCCACGGCACCGTGTGGAAGGCCTCGTACGTGGTGACGCCCGTGGCGCCCACCGGGCCGGCCTTCTCGTCGGCCAGCTTGCGCTCGTGGATCGTGTCCAGCCACCTCGTGAAGCTGTCGTGCGCGCGCCGCTGCTTCTCCGCCGCCGCCTCCTGGGCCGCCTTCTGGGCGGCAGTGGCAGCTTGCCGCCGCTCTGCGCACCAGGACACCAGGACGCCGTCGTCAGACTCACGCGCTCCCCCACCCTCGCGCGGTCGCACGCGCCCCGGGCCCCGGCCACACCTCGTTGCTGCTGGTCCTTGGCGCGCCGCCACTCGGCCAGCTGGCCGTCCCGGTCGACGCGCTGCTGCAGCGACGCCTCCTTGCGGGCCTCGCCCCAGCGCCTGGCCGCCTCCATGCGGGGCGAAAGCTCTACCGGCCGGCCCGCCCGCCGCGTTCGCAGCCGCCAGTCCAAGTAGCGGCGGTACTCCACCTCCATGCGGGCCTGCGCGTTGGCCTCCGCGTTGCGCGCCGCCATCGCTTCCCTCGCTGACGCAGCGGCGGCCCGCTCGCGCCGCCGCCGGTCTAGCTCCCTGCACGAGTACCCAGTTTGGCTTTTGCTTGGAAGCCAATCTACGGTGCAGTCGGGACGTGACGTACTTTTGCAAGGGGCGATAGTGGTTCCACGGCCGCCGCCCGTCCAGCTTCACGTTGTCCACTACCCCCTCCACGATGTCGGCGGCCTCGTGAGCCTGAGGCGCCTGTGGCCCTGCGGTGGACGGCGGCCTGCTCGGCTGACGCTCCACCACGGCCGGGGAGTGATCCTGGTGCTCCTCCTGGGTGTCGACGACCTTGTCGTCGAGCAAGTGCTGCTTCTCCAGTTGTTCACTCAGCTGCTGCACCTGGTCCTGGCCAGCGTCGGGGCTGGCCGTCGCTGACGCCTCTTGCTGGCCGCGGAGGTGCTCTCGCTGCCGGCCGCGGCTCTCCGCCACCTGCCAGCAGCCATGAGACACAATCTCGACGGCGCGCACGGCCTGCGGCAGGCCGGGCACGGGCAGATCTGCGGGGGATGCGCCCACCTGCTGCATGCGCTGCTCCTCCCGCTGCTCCTCCCGCTGCAGCTGCTGGTGCAGCTGTTGCCGCAGCAGCTGCTGCTGCTCGTCGTGCAGCTTGCGGACGTACTCGTCGTTGCGGTCCTGCCTGCCGAGGCGCAGCAGGTCGTTGCGGATGTCCTCCCTGCGGCGCTGCAGCCGTTCGCGCCGCTTCTCCTCGATCTGGCGCAGCAGGTCCAGCTGGTAGTGCTGGTCCCGCTGGCGCCGCAGCGCGCGCACTTCGTCCTCACGCCGCGCCGGGTAGCAGTCCTCCAGCCGCAGGGCCAGCCCGTCCCGCCGCGGCCCTGCGGGGGTCACGTCGCCCTGGCCGACGTCGCCGACGTCACCGCCGTCCCCGGGCACTTCTGGGAAGCGGGGTGGCTTGGCGGTGACGTCCGGGAGCGGCCGGTCCTCCGCCCCGACGTCGCCGTGTGGGGTGGACGGTGGCGCGGGGGTGGCGGCATCGCGGCCCGCGAGTGCTCCGTCAGGGTCCGCCATGGTGGCGCTCGAGGCTGCGCGGCCTCACCGCGTACAGCTGTCAGTGACGGGCGCGTTTCACCTCCTGCAGTCGAAGTTGCTGGCGTCGTGGAGCACGGCGTCGACCAGGGAGAAGGGCGCGATGCGACTCTGGCCCACCTGTCAGCGCGGCCCCCGAGCTGCAGCCGGCCTGGCGAAGCGGAGAAGCCCCCCGCGGAGGGCAGGGGGAGGGGGAGAGGGGGCAGGCATTGTCGTTTCCCCGGCACTGCCGGCACTGCCCGATCCCCCGGGTTTCATTCTTATGGCGTGTGTCATTGCCATGCTATTATTGCCGCCCGCGTCAGCGGCCAAGAAGCAGTTTGGTCATGTTTTTTAGGGAGTTTAGAAGGTTTGCTTGGAATGATTCTCAATTTCTCAAGATGAGTTCAATTTATTTAAACAAGGCAAACATAGCATTTTGGAAAGAAAGATGACTTATTACATGCTATGGCGGTACAAAAATAATAAATTAGTCACGGCACATTTACAATATTCATCACAGAATGATCGCAACAGCCACGGCTAGAGCTGTCACTTACACAATACCTAACGCCATGTTTTCTTTGAGTGTATTGTTGTAACATCACACGACAGCTTTCCCACCACAAAGTTGGATGCTTGTTTATAATACAGTAGTTTAACATTACACCAAAAAAAATGACTATTAGCACAGTATGGCCACAGAGAGACTTCCCTAGTATTGATCACAAAAGCCGTGTTTAAATAATGGCAAAGGAAAAAGCAGAGCTTGTGCAGATTGTCGTTATACATTTAACCTTTGCAAGAGACGACACTCTATACTTTTAGATTGAACCAATCTAGTAATACTAGCAAACACGCGTGATACCCATTCGTTCCTAATATTAGTCATGACCTCACGTCAATGGAAATCAATTGTAGCTTTTAATTGATTCCCAAAGTGGGAAACCCTCTTCTTTGTCTTGTTTCATTATCACACTAAAATTATTTGACACACTTTGTGGCAACATTATAACAATATACAACTAAAAAAATATATTTTAACATCAATACCCTTACAATAAGACCAACCATACGTTAGTTTTTAAAAAAATATTTGGTACAAGATTTTGACACAATTAGCTAACTGTTGCCCACTGAACACATCACGTAAATACTAACTGATTTGATGTGGTGTGTCTAGTGGGCAAATATTTGGCAAGAAAGACAAGCCTCATAAGAAGAAAATAATCACAGTGAGGAGTAAGTAGTAACTGTGGCCAAGTCGTTGTCAATTGAGAGCTTTGGCAAAAATATACATTTTTTTTTAACTTTTCTGAGAAACTTTCAAATTTCAGGCTAAATACAAGGGGAACGGGATGTGACGTGACCTGATTCATTGAACACAATAATACGCAGTTAGAAATTCAGAGGAGATTTCTACGGTGGTGACTTGAAGCTTGAACAGAATGTGGAAAGGGGACCAGGCAAAGGGCCAAACGAGCAAACTGGATGAAAGGGAGGGGGGGAGGCTACGGGGCTAGCTGGAGCCCTACCGTAGGACGGCAGCTCCGGATGGCCGGGAGCGTGGACGCGGCCGGGACTGGCCCGTCTGGCCGAGTCATGTCCGAGGCCAGTCGCCCTGGCTGCCCTGGTCGGCGGCGTGCTTCCTGGTCTGCACCAGGCCCTGGCCGAGGCCGCCGAAGCGGCTGTAGTCGACGACGGGGCCCAGCGTGGCCACGATCACGTCCTGGCGGTGCATGGGCAGCATGGGCTTGGAGGCGCCGACGCCGCGGCGCCGCTGCACGCGCTGCATGAGGGCGCGGAAGGTGAGGAGGCTGGCGATGAGCGACACGACGGCCAGCGCCAGCAGCACCGCCACCAGCACCGCCTGCGAGCTGAGCAGCGGCCACGCCGCGCCCACGTAGTTCCACGACACGTCCGCGTCGACCGCGTCGACCCCGTCCGCTGCAACGAGAGAGGCAAGCAGGTAAGCACGAGGCCCGGCCGGTTAGCTACAGATTGGCGGCATCAGATTCCCACCCGCTATCGGGGTCCAAGGCACTGGCCACTGGCCGCTGGCCCGATAAGCGGGCCATAGCGGGCCATGCCGATCGGGTTCGGATCGGCTAGACACTTTTCGGCACTGTAGGCCCGCCCCCGCCCCGCCACGCTTTGGCGCGCGGCCACGCGACTGGGATGCCGCGCTGCCTTACCTGACGCGCTATCGTCGTCGCTAGGCTGGTCCGAGGACGGCGACGTCTCCTGCTCGGCGTGAAGCCCCGCGGCCTGCTGTCCAGGCCGGTACGCGGCGAACACGCTGTCCACGCCGTCGTCCACGCCCGGCAGGGGCCGCGCGCTCATGGCGGCCGAGATGTAGGGCGCGCCGCAGGTCTGCTGGTCGTGGTCCGTGTCCACGAACTTCTCGGCCCGGATGTCGTGCTTGCGGAACGCGCTCCTCAGCGCCTCCTGCGCGGCCTCGGAGAGGAACGGCCGCCGGCTCAGCACCCAGGACACCACTGCGAGTCGGGGAGTTGAGTCACATTTGGTTCAAACTCAAAAAGTCTAGAAGCAGGCCTTAAAGAAGGCGCAGCCGACGAGTAGCTTACCGTTGCGTTCAAACAGGTTGGGCTCGTTGCACCCCCACAGCAGGGCGAAGTCGTCGTAGTCCGTGGCGATGAGCTTCATGTCCACGGAGCGCGGCGCGGCGGCGCCGGCCAGGTCGTGGAACGTCAGGTTGAAGCGGGGGTACCTCTCCGAGTTGGTGTACTGGGCGAACGCACGGATGATGCCGTCCCCCTCCCTGCGGTTCCAATTCCAAAATAACACACGTTGCGCAAGAATAGGCAAAAGGGGATCAGTTTCGGGTACTTGAACCCGCACCCACCTTCCGCGGTACGCCAGCCGGGCGTGCAGGCCGAGGCCGTCGTCGGACTTGGCGAAGTGCCAGCGCGTGCAGCCGGGGGAGAAGGCTGCGTCGTGCACCCCGGGCACCGCGAAGGCCTTGATCTCGTACCACGGCTCCGACACGAACTGCAAGCAGCGCAAGACAGTCACAAACAGGCCTTCTGGCCGGCCAGACAGAGCGGCGGCTGGGCGACAGGGCGACACTCACCTGCTCCTCGTTCCAGTCCGACACCGGGGTGCTGAACGGACAGATGCCGGGCTCGGTGATCTGGGCGCGGACGGCGACGAGCGCTGCGAGCGCCGTCAGCAGCGCGCCCGGGGCCCAGCCCATCCTGGAGGAACCTGGAACACACGAGACGACCGTCACAGACAAGCCCCTAGCGGGGTTGGCGGCCAGGAGAGGGGGCACGATGCACGCCCTGGTGCACGCCGCTCTGCGATTGCAGCAAGCCCATCCTTTTATCGGTCAGCGCGACGCTGTCACGCTGTTGCCGGGCAAACGCCTAGCAGGCTAGGACTAGGCGCGGCTAGGCCGGCCAGGTGTACTGTGCCCCCGCCCCCGTCACAATGGTCAAATCTAGGCAGCCCGCTAGGAGCACGCGTACGTGCTCCGAGGCCCGTAGGCCCCTTCAGCCATGCCGATAAGCGGATCGCGGGCTGCAGCCGCCACGCACACTCGCAGACACACACATACAGGCAGCTCCCCTACCCTCCAGTGTACTGACACTGCGGAATAATAGCGACATTTTGCGGCCCCACCGCAGGCTACAGTGCGATGCGAGAGAGACAGCCCGAGCCGCGTTCGGCATCAGTCTGCAGGCGGGGACTGCGGCTGACTGCGGCCTGGCTCGGGGCGGTGCGTCATCGTCGCCGTGCCCGAGCACAAAGAGAAGCGCGTCGCGGTGGCGGCGTGGCGGCCGCCACGAAGGCCGCCACAAAGAACCCGCGCACTGTACGGCCAGCTGCGAGGTGGCGCAGGACCACCCCAACGCCCGGAAGACTGATTCACACTGTCTCTCTCGCACTCATGGGGCGTCCCGTCAAAATGCGAGGGAGTGAGACAGAGCGACGAAACGGACTCAGTCTCCGATGCGGGTTGCGCCGGTCAATTCCCGCCGTTTCCCACGCTCGCCCTCGCGTCATCGGCAAGGTCACGAGGACTGTCACACGTGACGGGACGCGCACCCGGCACCCTTTCTCTGTCTTCCTCGCACGCGACTTTCGGCAGCGCGACGCTTTCTCTGTCTCTCTCGCGCGCGCGACGTGACCCTAGCCGGCGTACGCGCGGCGCGCGGCCCACGCACGATAGGCCCGGCCCGCCCCTCCAGATGCCGCAGCCAAGAAGATAAGGCACCGAGTGGCGCCAAGCGAGGCCTGTTTGAATAAATTCGCGCCACGCTCGGCGAGGACGAAGCCTCTGTTGTGCGTTTCCCTTTGTTTCTGCGGCCGGCTGACATGACTTGCAACGACTTGCACGCGCCGCTTACGGCCCGCCGCCACCGCGCCACGAGGGCCGGGGCCACCTGGGCCACCTGGGGCACCTGGGGCGAGTGCACCGCGATGTCCACCAAGCAAGCAAGTCGGGAGGGGAATTTGGGAAACGGCTCAAACGCACACTCTACCACCAGACTCATTCCGAGGGTCGTTTCCTGTCCCTCTGCTTTGGTGCGAGAGAGACAGGGACGAAGTCGTAAACAGCAAATAGAAAAAGCACTGGTGCTCGGCAACACGGCGCACATGGCTGCACCACGGGCCGGCAGGCGAACTTGTTGGCCGGTGGAGGCAGAAGGGGAGGGGGGGGGGTCGACGCATGCGCGGCGAGCGCGGCGGTGCGGCGGGCATCGCGCCGCGAGCCGTCTGACAGGCGGCGTGACAGGACAGGCAGGCCGCACGCACGGTGTTGTGACTGCATCAGCTGTTCGCTGCGGCCAGGCTCCAGGGGCAGGCTGCACAGACTCCAGGGGCCTCCAGCCTGCCTCAAGCGTGCCGCCACTGATGTTGCTCCCGCTTGGCGTTCCAGGACGATTGCTCTGGAGACGCGTTCGCTCCAGGAACAAAGAAGAGCGCGCCAGTGAATGGTCCTCTGTCGCGGCAAGTCTGGGCGTGACGAGCACCTGACGCACTAGGGCGAAAAGGTGCTGGCCGGTCGCCAGGTGTCGTCACAGACCACTTCCTCAGAACCTCCCCCACTGCCCACGCCCCCACCCTCCGCCGGGTCACGCCACCCACCGTCACTCTCTCGCACTGTCTCCCAGATTCACCCTCCGGCACTGTCACTCACATTCACTTCCCGCACTGTCACTGAGGTTCGCTCTCCCACACTGTCACTGAGATTCACTCCCCCGCACCGTCACACAGATCTCCTTTTTCCGCGTCAGATTCACTTTCCGCGCGATCACTCTTCTATTCACTTTCGCCTGGACGTGCGGCGGACGGCGGGCACCTGCTGGTCGTGAAGCAGCGGGTCCGGTTTACCTGCGGACGCGTTCACGACGTCGAGGTGGTCACGGAGTCGCGGCCCGCGGACGACCTTCCTTGACGGCAAATTGGCGGTTCGCAACGCTCCGAGAGACGTTCGCGGACGAATCGCGGGTGAGTCTGCCTCGGCTCGGCCTGGCGCGGCGCGGCGCTGTCAGCGTAGCGTGGTGGCGTACGTGAGCCCAGGGCCCCCGCGTTCGGCTCGCGGTCGGCCCCGCTTCGGGGCACTTCGCGCTCGCTTCGCGCTCGCTTCGCGGCCCCGGCTCGGCTCCGCGCTCGCTTCGGCTCGGCCAGGCTGGGCTCGGCTCGAAGCGGCGTCCGTCGCGACCGACCGGCTGTCCTTGGCAACCAACATGGACGCATGTGGCGTGGCGTAGCGCAGCGGCGTCGTTGCCAGCGCCGTCGCTAGGTGGCGCTGGCGCGGGCGTCGCGGCGCCTTGCCGCCCTGCCCACCCCACAGACCCACCACCCTACCCTCTGCCCAACCCCGAGGCTGCGCTTGCACCACGACTAGGCTTCAGAAAGGCACACTGCGAGTGCTCCAGACGGAGGGAAGTCCGCGTCCACACAGGCCGCCGCCGGGCCGCCGCCTTGTGTCTCACGCGGTGGCCGATAAGGCTGCCGCTGCACTGCAGCAAGCAGGGCAAGCAGCAACCGCTGTCGCGAAGCAAGGCCGGCGATACCCCGTGCTGACAGAGCCTGCACCACACGCACCACACGCCCGCCCAGCCCCAGCACGGCGCGGCGTCGGAGTGCGATGGGCTGCCAAGCTGGCAGGCGGCGCGACGACGCGCAGGACCCCCAGGACCCTGATGGCCTGCTGGGTCGCGAGGACGACGTTGCCGCACTCAGAGAGGCCAAAGTCGGGTAGTGGAAGACGTGGGCGGTTCAAAGAATACTCGACGGACACTGGCATGCTAGTGAGTCGAGGTACACGGTTTTCTTTGTCATCGTTACGATCGAATATCCCAAGTTACGCACCCACTACATACTCACCGTGCGAAAGGCGAAACACGACACGCACGAACACGCACACGAGCGCGCATGCACACTCACACACACACACACTGACACAAACGCGCTCTCTCACACACATACACACACGCGCGCGCGTGAGCACGCGGCTATTGGGCCGTGACTAAAATTAGCGACACGCATCGCTTAGCACGTGTTGATTTGCTGTATATTTCCTGCTCTCTCACAGGCGCCGGCGAAGACGACGCCGCGACCTGACCCGACCCCGGTGACTGCCACCCACGCGCGGGGACACAGACACAGACACACACACACAGACACACACACACACACACACGTCCACCGTGTCCCCCCAACACGCCGATGGGCCACCACCCTTCAGTCCCTTCACCGCCCGGCCGGCCGACTAATCCCTACACGTGTCAGACGCTGAGCTCGCACACCACTTGTACTTTGTCACACATTTCAAAAAATCGAGTTGCAAATGTTTTCAGAGTTTCATGGAGACAGCTGCAGAAACAATCCCGGGATCGCCTCCCCCCCCCCCTCCCCCCTGTCCTCCTCAGCGGCCTGAGCGATCCCCCCGATGCCAGTGTGCCAGTGCGGCTGACACGCAATCATCGGGGGGCCTGATGGTCCGATCACCCCGGAATAAGAATGGAAGCACCCTCCATCTTCCCCGACACTGTCGAAACGCTGCCCCGTGCCCCACGTCGCCCTGTTGCCCGATCCGGCGGGGGCCTCCAATTCTGACGGTGTTCCGCAGGAGGTGGATGGTCGCCGTCAAAGTGAATCGCTCTGTTCCGAAAACTACTCCGTCATCCGATCGGGGAGGCTATTTTTCAAATTTTAAACATCGCCGTCACGGGGCGACGGGGCGGGCGGGACGGGGCGGGGCGGCGTGGCGGCGGAGGTGCCCCGGGCTGCGACGACGTCGGCGTGGTCGTGGAGGCGGCGGAGGCGGCGCGAGAGACGCGGGGCCGTGACAGAGTCAGTCCGAGTGGTGCCTGCGTGCTGGTCGCGAGGGTGATCGCACGAGGGCGCGACGGAGTGACGAACAGTGTGACGGATCGCGGCGTTGTGACAAACAGTGTGACAGAGGCAACGTGACGGGTCGCGACGTTGGGACGAACAGTGTGACAGGGGAGAAACGTGACGAGTCGTGACGAATCATGCTCACCGGCCACGGTTCGAGCGCGGTGCTGGCCTAAGGAGTGGCGGTGGCAGTGGTGGTGGTCAACCAGTGAGTCAAGTTGAGGAGTTCGTGACCTAGACGTGACCCGCGTCGCTCTCATGAGACTTCGGCCGCCGAGGTGAGTCTTCCAGGGGTCGCCGCTCTGTCTCTCTCGCACCCCTACGGAAAGTGCCGTGGGTAAGAGAGAGATAGAGCACTCCTCGGAATGAGACTGCAGGTAGTCCGATTTGTCTGCAACCAGCTGCTTGCTGCACAGGCCATGGCGGCATCCCGCCCACCTCCTGCTCGCCGTCTTCCTGGCGTCGCAGCTGCTTCTGCTGCAGGCCGCTGCACGTGAGTACGAAGTGCGAGGTCGGGCCCGGGTTCGACCCCGCGCGCCAAAGACACTTTGCCGCGCGGAAAGGCAAAAGGAGGAGGAGGACTGAGTGTTGCCGGTGTCGCCGTGGCGGTGATTTAAAGCCCTCGCGTACTGCGTTGCGTGCCCCCGACAGAGAGCGGAGCGTACCCTGACGGACCGGAGGACGACGGCGGCGAGGCGGACCCCGCGGACCCCGCGGACCCCCAGTGGGACAATAACGTGGCCGACTACAGCGACGAGGATGGTGAGGCACAACGCAGCGCGCAGCGCGCAGCATGGCGGCAAGGCGGCCAGGAGAAATTCACTCACTTAATTGAGTTGAAATAAAAAGCTTGCCCTCACCGGGTGTATCAGTCAAGACGTTTCAGTCGGTTTCAGTAGTTCAATCTGTTGACTGGTGCGCCCGATCCGTTCTGAAACTGTCCTCTTCATGCTCATGAAAACAATCCCTGATTGTGAGCGCAGAGGACCTCCGCGGCTCCATCACGGCCAACACGGCGTTCGACGGCCAGGTGGACGAGGCCAACGGGCCCTGCTCGGACTACAAGCCCGGCGAGGACGACCTGCAGGCCTTCGACTTCATCCGCAAGTTCCGGCTGGACCTGCTGGGCACGCAGTTCCCCGGCGTGACGCGCGTGCGGGGCTCCAACCGCGTGCAGACGGCCTACCGCCTGGAGAAGGAGGCCAACCTCACGCTGCGCACCCGGTACGTCTGGCCCGTCTGGCCCGTCTGGCCGAAACCCCGGACGCGTTTTGAGCTCCAGAGTCGCTGAGTGGAACTCGAACCGAACGTGTGACCCCACCAATGGATTGCTCTCCGAACGAGGAATTCATTGGTGGGGTCACACGTCCGATTCGAGTCCCATTTAGCGACTCTGGAGCTCAAAACGCGTCTAGAGTTTTGGCCGCCTCCACCGGTCTTCTGGCCCACTGTGCGGCGCCGCTTGGAACCTAGATCGCGCCCTCCGCAGATGGGTCACTGTCCACGTCGTGTTTGTGTTGAAGTCTAGCCAAAGCCACAAAGCTCGCGGGGCGCGGGGCGCGGCACGCAATCTGAAAATCGGGCGGTGGCGAGGCGATGGCGATGCCGACGGCCGCCGCGCGCCCTCAGGGGAGGTGCCGCCCGCGCCATGCCCTACTTCGCGTCCACGGCGCGCAGGAATAAAACAAACCTTTGTCGGTAGGGACATCTTCCCCACGGGGCTGCCGGAGCAGTTCTCGTTCGTGTGCTCGTTCCGCGCGCGCAAGGTGCCCAAGACGTCCTGGCACCTGCTGCGCGTGACGGGGGCCTCGGGCGCCACGCAGCTCGCCGTGCAGCTCAACCCGCAGCGCGAGAGCGTGGAGCTGCAGCTGGCGGACTACCAGGGCCGCCCGCAGACCATCGCCTTCACCAACGCCGTGGTCAGTGCGGGAGTTTCGCTGCAGGCGTTTCGCTCAAAAAACATCTCTCTTAAACCTAAAAGGAAATTCTGCTTTTTTGGTTAGAACGTTTTTGACAGGAACTGGCACAAGATCCACTTCGGCGTGTTCCGGGACCACGCGGTGCTCTACGTGGACTGCGAGGAGGCGTCGTCCGAGCAGCTGGGGCCGCGAGGACACCTGGACGCCAACGGGCGCATCTCCATCTCCAAGATCGTGGACAGCCAGCAGACCGTCCCCGTGAGTCACTGTGCCCCCTAAGTTGTCTTGTACACGACAAAAGTACAGAACCGACACCTCCGTGCTCCTGCAGGTGGACCTACAATGGATGGTCATGAGCTGCGACCCGCACCGGCCCGAGAGAGAGACCTGCGACGAGATCCCGGTGAGTGGTTCGACGAGTGGCCCGGGCAGTGGCTGTCCGTCGGCGTGCTCACGGTCTTCTTCTGCTGCAGAAACTCCCCGTCAGGAAGCCTCCGCCGTCCATCGTGGTGCCGGCGTCCTGCGAGACCATCTGCCCCCAGGGACCGCAAGGCTTCAACGGCACAGCGGTAGAGCAGCGACGGTGTAACTGATTTTGTGACTTTCTCGGCACTTGTGCTCCTGGTTCCAACAGGGCTGGTTGCTGTTCTAGGGCCCGGTCGGTCCGCCTGGTCCCGCGGGCTTCCCTGGACCCCAGGGCCTGCCCGGCCTTCCTGGACTGCGCGGCGAGCCGGGGCCGCCGGGCATCGGCGGCATCTCCGGGCTGCCGGGCCCACCAGGCCAGCCAGGGCCCAGCGGCTTCCCGGGGCCCGTCGGCATCAAGGGGGAGCGCGGAGAGAGGGTCAGTCGCCAGTAGAGCACCACGCCGTCGGCCGGCCTGCCGCCACGCGCGAGTGGCGGTTGGGCTGCCTACCCGCCAGGCGCCTCCAAGTGCCTCAAGCGGCGCTCGCGCCATCAAGTTCATGTTCTGCAGCCTCGCCTCATCGACCACACGCTCTCGTTCTCTTGTTGCAGGGTGACTTTGGCCTAACGGGGGAGAAGGGCGATCGCGGCGAGAGCGGCTACCCGGGACTGCCCGGGCCTCAGGTAAGACAACTGGCGGCACGCCGTCGCCGAGGTGGTCGAGGAGGTCGAGGGCGTGGCGGTGACTAGCTTCGTGTTGCAGGGGCTGCCGGGGCTGCGAGGGCCTCCAGGGGACGTGACCAGAGCGCCTCCCGTCGTCGGGCCACCGGGCCCCGCCGGACTGATGGGGCCTACGGTAAAATGGCCGACAATGTCGTCAGATGGTCCCCATGTCATTCAGGAACAGTTTGCTCCAGTTTTGGTTTCTCGCAGGGAGCGCCCGGTCTGGAGGGAGCCGTGGGTCCGCGCGGCTTCCCCGGAGAGCCGGGCCTTCCTGGCGCTGCCGGCCGGGACGGCCTCCACGGCGAACGCGGGCTGAAGGGCGAGCGCGGGGAGCCCGGCCTCGCGGGCCTGCCTGGCTCCCAGGGGCCAGCGGTACGTCACGCCAAATTTTACAACCCTTAAGAGAAAACCCCGGAAGTGACTAAATCGTCCTCGTTTTGTGCACAGGGTCTACCGGGCGCGCCGGGGCTCCCTGGCGCCCAGGTTGAAGGCGAGCACGTGCCGGGTCCCGCAGGACCGCCTGGACTGCCGGGAGAGGCTGGCTTCCCAGGACTGCCCGGGCCCAAGGGCGCTAAGGGGTCGCAGGGCGACAGGGGCGAGCCGGGCGCGAGGGGCGACAAAGGTGAAGGTCACAGCGAGTTTCTCATATTGGCAGGGAATGCCGTGCAGCGCCTGCAGGCTCGCCCCAAACGGTGGATCCGTCCCGCGGTCTCTCTCGCACCCAAGGCGCGTCCCGAAGGTGCGAAGAGACGGGACGCTGTTGTTTGCGAGCGTCCTGCAGCTTCGTTATTTGAGTGTGTCCACATCCTTCATCCTTTCTCTTTGCGCTCCGAGGCACTGTCTGCCACACACGCCATACTCGCGCCTGCATCCGCAGACACGCGGCACGTGGCCTAGGCGTGTTGTGCTGCACGCCAACCGTCCCGGGTTCGAGACCCGCCGAGGCCGCTGTTGACGCCGGCCTTTTCCTTGCGCAGGTGACCGCGGCCCCGCCGGCATGCCCGGTCTGGACGGCATGCGCGGCGAGCCGGGCAGAGACGGCCTGGCGGGACCGCTCGGCTTTAAGGGAGAGCCGGGGTGAGTAACTGAGGAACTGTCCAGGGGCCCGTGGTCTAGCCCTTAATGGTAATGGTAATGGCAAGGTAGGCCACCGTCTCCGCTCGGCTGTGTTGCGCGACGGATCGGTGGCCTACCTCGCAGGCGCTACACTTCGCATCAGGGGCAGACTCTCTGCGGCTGGAGCGTAGAGTCGGCAGCCCTCGATTCTGGGGACCGGCGTTCGAAGTCCGCCATTTCTTCTCGTTTTTGAGCCGCGGTGAAACAATAAAGTTGACTTTGCCGCGTTTGCACCGATTCGACCTCGTTGCCATGCAACAAAAATAATTTAAAATGTCCCGAATGTGTGTGAATGTCAAGAATGTTTTTGAATAACTTAATAAGCAATATAACTGCAGAACAGTGAATGCCCTCTCGCATCGCCAAAGGCATTGTAGCGCGAAGGCGCCCAGCAAGTACCCCTGGGGCACTGCATGTAAGACACCACCTGGTCCTGACCCTACTTAATTTAAATTGCAGGAGGCCTTCAATTTGCAGTGTCGGGGAGTTCAAGTAGTGCCCCTATGATGACTCAGCTTTTAATAGATTAGTCACTCAAATTGCAGTTTTAATTTTATGGGTGTCATATGGGACATTAATTTTGTGCCACATTTCCACCAACAAATCCACAGCATCGTAGACCGCTTTCCATTGGCTTTCCATTCATTGTAAACAAACGGTTACGCGCTTGGTTCATGGACTCGAGAGTTAGAGCTAGCTGGCATCTCAATTTGCCTTGACTGTTCTATGTATGTTGTAAAGTTAAGGTATCATCTGCCAAAAATTTTTGTTGATGGAAGCCTTGCAGATAAGTGGCTGCTCCTGAGGACTCCGCCACGCCCCGCCACTGTTGTGCTCGACTGTCGCAGGTTAATGGGGCCGCACGGGCCGCAGGGTCTGCCGGGGCTCATCGGGCTGCCTGGGCCGCAAGGCGTGCCGGGGCTGCCGGGGTCGGCGGGACTCAAGGGCGACGCGGGACGGCCGGGGGAGCCGGGGCTGCCCGGGTCGGCGGCGGGCATTGGTGAGTGGTGCAACGCGCCGCGTCGCCGCGTCCTCGACCCAGCGCAACGTTGACAGAGCGGCGCGGGTTCGAGTACGGACGCGGCCGGTGCCCTTCCTTAAGCTTTCGTGCTCAGGTGAACCGGGCGCGCCGGGCCCGATGGGTCCTCGCGGCCTCCCCGGCCTGGACGGCGCGCGCGGCGAGAAGGGCGAGCCGGGCCCCCTCGGGGGTCAGGGCCCCCCGGGGCTGCCGGGGCTGCAAGGCCCCCCCGCCAAGGACGGCATGCCGGGCCAGGACGGGCTGCCGGGCCGCGTCGGCGAGCAGGGTCCGCGCGGCTTCGAGGGACCGCCGGTAAGTAGGCAGCCCGCCGAACGACGGACTTACCTAACCTAACCTCAGGCCGCTCATGTCCCGTTGCGGTTGCTTCCAGGGCCTGCCCGGAAAGCCAGGGCTGCAGGGCCTCATGGGCAAGATGGGCCTGAAGGGTGACTCCGGCGACAAGGGTGAGCTGGGGCCGAGCGGGCCCAGAGGTCTGCCCGGGAACACGGTGAGTGCAGCGCAGTGCAGCGCCATGAAAGGTCGCCTCGTCCTCGCCATCCGCCTCCACCTCGTCCTTCTGTTGCAGGGCTCCGCGGGGCTGCCCGGCGTCCCCGGCACCAACGGGCTGCCCGGCATGGAGGGCAAGCCCGGAGCGCCGGGGCCACCAGGACCGCCGGGGCCACCGGGGGAAGTGGTGCACAGCCCCGTCGGCTACCTCGAGACGAGCAGCCACCCCGGCGCGGTGGGCCCCAGGGGGGCGCCAGGACCGCCAGGACTGGTGAGTCGCAGCATTCACGATTCGCGCCGCAGATTCCGGCCTGAAGATCCGACTGTGTCCGGCTACAGCCGGACCGTCTGGCTGAACGGTGTCTGTAGCGCTGCTTTATTCTGGCCCTCTATTTGCAGCCTGGGGAGCGTGGCCACGGCGGAGAGCGCGGCCCGGAGGGATCGCCGGGGCAGCACGGCATGCCAGGTGCGTACGCCTGCGTCTTCGCGGAGGGCGGGTCCCCAGAGTACGCGAGCCGGCCCTCTGCTTCACGCTCTCTGTGGCCTCGCCGCATCGCCGCAGTTTAATTTTACTGCGAGTCATAACGCGTCCACAGCGGCTTGGCGGCTTGGCGGCTTCAGTGCCGGGGCAGTTTCCAGCTCCAACGTCGACGCGATGCTGATGAGTCGCTTCCGGCGAGCATGCCGCCGCGCCGCCCACCCGTACCGCGGTCCGCGTACCGAGGCGTCTACCAGCCCTTTGCCTCGGTCCAGGGACTGTCGCCCCACTTCGCCTCTCTGGTGTTTCATGTTCCACTTCGTCCACTTTGCAGGCAAGGAGGGTCCACCCGGCATCCCTGGAGCGCCAGGCCAGCGCGGCCAGCCAGGGCCTCCCGGACTGAGCGGCCCCCCGGTAAGCTGAACCCCTTGGCGGGGACCTCATCGGACACGTCATCGTTCTAGTAGCTGGCTCTCAAGCGTGTGGTCTTTGAACCGTTCCAGGGACGCACCTACGCCGAGTCGGAGTTGCGGGAAATCTGCGCCGCCGTTCTCAGAGGTGAGTGTGCACAGTGTGTGGGATGCAGACGACTTTGGATCTTTGCGGCCACAGTTAGCGAGCCGAGTACACGTTGGGCACGTTGTCGCGACGCGACCGCGCTTTCCGCGGATGCGGATCGCCTCCAAGTGGACGGAACGGAGTGGCTCCAAGAAGTTAGAGTCGGTGACGCGGCGCCGGCAGGGCAGGACAGTGAGGGGCGGGGCGGGCGGGGCGACTCGGGCGTCACGCGTCGGCAAATAAGATATGATAACAAGCTGTCGGAGGCGTGTCCTCTCCTCTTCCTCGTGTTGCAGACCAACTGACCGAGCTCACCGCCACGCTGATCGGCCCCCCGGGGCCTCCAGGACGAGGGCGCAACGGCCGACCCGGACCACCTGGCCCGCACGGACCCACCGGTAAAATCGATCCTCAAACAATTTTGCTGACATTATCGCAACCTGGCGCGCTGGCGGCTTTGACGGCGGACTGTCATTTCTTTCCTTTCCAGGGGAGCCAGGCCGGCCCGGGCTGCAGGGCGAGCGCGGCTTCATGGGGCTGCCGGGGGCGGTGGGGCCCCCGGGGCCTCAGGGCGGCCAGGGCGAGCGCGGCGACAAGGGAGACCGCGGCCCAGAGGGGGTGGGGCTGGAGGGGCCTCCAGGACCCAGAGGACTGCCAGGTAAGCGAGGGAGCGGACGCCTGCCCCTTTCTCTCGCACTCATGGGACGTCCCATATGCGAGAGAGATAGGCCTTACTCCGCGGAACCGCACCGCGAGGGGCGGGTTCAAAGGTTCAAACGCCGCCTCATTTTCGTGTTGCAGGGCCTTCGGGGCCGCCGGGCGTGGGCGTGCCGGGCCGGGCCGGCGACAGGGGCGAGCCGGGGCGCGGCGGCCAGCAGGGGCCGCGCGGGTCGCCCGGGCCGCAGGGGCCGCCGGGTTTCTGCGAGTACTGCAACATGTCGCCGCCGCAGATGCAGGCCGGCAACTACAAGGGGCCGTGACCGTCAGCGTGACGTCCACACTGGTAGCGCTATGCTATGCGGTACATGTCGAAGCGAGAGCATTTCATATTTGTACGTAGCCCCTGAGAGAAGAGAGAAATCGTGCCGCCTTTTGGTTTTGCTGTTTTGATCTCAACGACGTCAGTGGCTGGAACTGGCATGCATCCAGCTTGGGAACAATTTTCATATTTTACAATAAAACATGCGTTCAGTGGTTTCGACATGGTTCCGCTTCACACCGCTCACCCTCCGATCACCGCTTCAGCCTGCATATGCCCGGGTACAGAAAACGGAAATCTGCAAGAGAAATGTGGGTCACTTTATGAGATCTCAGTTGATTGGTGGACCGCGGCGTTGTCGCTGAACTCACCAGACCCGCTCACGCAGTTCTGCGCGTTGAGGGCGCACAGGTTGGCAAAGTTGTACATGAGCCCCGCGCCGTTGACGGAGCACAGGGGCTCCCAGACGGCCGGGCAGTTGATGTTGCAGGAGCCGTAGGGCGGCACGGGGGCCGGCGGGTAGCCACCACCGTACGGCGGCAGCGGGTACGGCAGCACCACCACGGAGGGGCCGGCGGGGGGCTTGGCCGTCGTGGTCGTCTCGGTGGGCAGCTGGGCCAGCACCACCGTCCACCACAGGGGCCCTGCCATGGCAATGCATTGCCCGGGGGAATGAGAGGCCGTAGATCTCACAGGTCGCGGCCGTGCACGTGGCAGAGGCCGTCGGCGTGAACCCATTAGCACAGGGCGTCCATCTACCGTCGAGACCGGCGCCGGACCGGACCCCGGCGTGCCCTACCGACCTTACCAGCTGGTCCGAAGGGGTTGCTCAAGAAAGGCGGCTGCAGCGCACTGGTCGGCACGGTGAAGACGGCGGGGGACCCCATGGCGACGGCGGCGAGTGCTCCGCTGCGCCGCGGCGACGGCTCCCAGCCGCTGCACCGCCGGCACCGCCGGCACCGCCTGCACCGCCAGGGCCGCGGCGCCTCAACCCTTTACGGCCACTTCCGGCCAGATAAGACCGCCAGGATGTGGTGCCGGGGGCCGGGACCCAGGATCCTATCGGCCGTTTACGCGTTTAGGGCCAATCGGCGGCGAATAAAGGCGCCTTTCTCGGACGCGGCGGCCGGCGGCGACGTGCAAAAGTGCTTTCAGGATCCCTAGGCCGCGGCGCGGCAAGGACACGGACCCTGCGAGCCAGGACCAATGACCAAGGACCGCGGCGGCGGCTGGCGCCGTGCCAATGAGCCGCGGCTAGTCTTATCTGTGAGGCCGGACCCGCACCCCACACCGCACCGCACCGCGCACACATGGAGGCTGGTGTCGCACCGCGTCCCGTCCCGTCCGTCGCGCTGCACCGCGTCGTGGGGTGCAGGCAGCGCGGCGCCGACGCGGTGCAGCACAGCGTCGCGCCGTCCCACACCCCTCCGTCGCGTGTGCGCGCCGCGCGCCGCGGCAGGGAACGGGAATGGGAGCGGAGGGGTGGCGGGCGGCGCGACGCGGCTGCGCAGAGCAAGGCGGGCAGGGCGAAGGCAAAGGGCGAGAGGGCGAGGGGAGCGCGGCGCGTCGCGGGGCAGCGCGACGGCGCGGTGCGGCGCGCGGAGGGGGAGTAACCACTACAACTACACGGCGGCGCACAGGCCGCGCACAGGCCGCGCCGGGCCACACCAGAGCGGAGCGCCGCACGGCGGAGCAGATCGGTTCGGTCTCGTTTAGCTGCGATCCAGGGCGGTGCCCCCGACAGGATGTCAGACGCGGGTCGCAGGGACTCGGGCGGCCCGCAGGAAGAAGCCGCCCAGGACAACGGGGCCGTCATGAAGAGCACGGCGTCGGACGGCGCCGAGAAAATGGCCTGCAGTCAAGACGTGTCCGCGGCCACACCGCCCTGCAACGCCGCGGCCGCCGCGGTGCAACCCCAACCCCAGCCCCAGCAGCTCGCCGTCGGCACGATCGATCGACCGTCGGCGCAAAGGAGGATAGTCAAGAACGTGCAGAGCGTGATCCCGAGGAACAGGTGAGGCACGGGCTCGTTTTAGAAGTGTGTCGCCGTGGCGGTTGCCCTGTCAAGACCTTCGTCCTTCCCTTGGGGAATGCGGCGCGCGGCGAGGCGGCCGTCAACCACCGGCACATGGTTAGGTTATGTCGCCCTCCGCCCAACAACCCCATCCCCTTGGACAGTGGGTCCCAGACCGGCCAGTCCGTCCTCCTCGTCGCGTTGCAGGGCGAGTGTGTCTACGCCTCCCTCGGCCCGCGCTGGCCTGCCCAGGCCTGCACGACAGGTGCGGTCACAGCCTCCCCCCGTCACACCCCTCCGCTCTGTCACTCCCTGGACCCCCGGGCTAGGCAACCCGCTCAGCGTGGGAGGGAAGTTGCAATGAGGGAGAAAGTTTTCCGTCGAATCCAGGACAGGAATCTCTGTTTCATCGCACTGCGCGATTTTGTTTATTCCTGTGATTATGTTCATTCAATTTTAGTATTTAAAGAAAAGTAACAATCTTTATTTATGGTAATTTATTTTTTTTAAACGAGGTTGGAGTTGCTGAAATGGAATGGCTGGGGCTACAAGGACTCCATGTTCGAACTCAAAGGAGACTTGCTTTGCTTCACGGGAAAGAGGTAACGTATTAGACAACCCGCAGGCTTAGTCGCGTTGAACCTCTTTACGCCTCTTGAACGCCTTGGTTGCTGCAGGTACCCCATCGGCAACCAGACGCTGCCCTACTTCACAGAGTGGGCCATCAACAAGCTGGGCATCGACGTGAACCGACGGAACAGGGCCCAGCCGCTGCCCAAGCCGGCGGACTTCCCTAAGCCCCGAGTCGAGACAGGTAACTTTTGCGCTAGCTCCCCTTGATTCGGCCTCGTCGGTCTTGTTGGTGGCTGTCACCGCGCACGTCCCGAAAACAAGTCTCGCTTTCGAGGAGGCCGTCGCGGTGTCCGTTGTGTATCATCTCAATTAGCACGTGTTACACGCGAGGCCGACCGCCGCAACGGCCGCAACGGCGCAGAGACAGTGTTTGCATTTCGCACCCTTGTTCCGTGGCGCACTTGCTCCAACCCCCCCTCCCCCTCCCCGCCGAGAAGGTCGTTCTGGCCACCGGGATGGAATAACAACGGGCCCCGTCGATTTCATGTCTTGAATGGTCTTTCTGTTTTGTTGTTTTCAGCGTTTTTGTCGGAGCTAAAGGGGCACCGCATAGCCCATTCCGTGTCCGGGCTGGACCGCCTGGTTCGAGCCCACGGCCACACGCTGCACGACATGTTCGTCCTGCGCGAGGGGGCCTTCGACCGCATTCCCGACGTTGTCGCGTGGCCCGGTAAGCCTTCTCTCTGTTCTCATGGCTTGCTGGGTGAGCAATGCGTTCCTGGTTTTATTCTGTGTCTTCTCTCCGCAGAGTGTCATGATGATGTAGTGAAAATTGTGGAATTGGCGGCTAAATTCAATGTCGTGGTCATTCCCTTTGGGGGTGGCACGAGTGTTTCTGGAGCTGTGTCCTGTCCTACAAAGGAGCACAGAACAATTCTTTCTTTGGACACATCTCAAATGGTGAGCATATAATTTTGGAATTTACAATATTTTTAAATATTTTTATGTAATTCTTTTGGGGGATTAATTTAATATTCTTCCATTTAGAATCGAATCCTGTGGATTGATCATGGAAATTTAGTGGCTTGCTGTGAATCAGGAATAGTCGGACAGGATTTGGAGCGAGCATTACAAGCGCAGGGCTACACTACAGGCCATGAACCAGACTCATATGAGTTTTCGAGGTTGGAACTAGCTTTTATTATAAACCTATACTTAGAGGATTTTTTCTCTAATAACTATTATTTTATGATTTTTCAGCTTAGGAGGCTGGGTTGCTACTCGAGCATCTGGGATGAAAAAGAACACTTATGGAAATATAGAAGAGTTACTAGTATCTGTTCGATTTGTAACGCCTACAGGAGTGCTTGAAAAAAGAACTCAAGTGCCCAGAATGTCTTGTGGTCCAGATTTCAACCATATTGTGTTAGGATCAGAAGGTAAATCACTGCTAGTTTGAAATGTTTTCTTCTCCATCCATACAGTTCATTCCTTTGTAATGTAAATTTGTCTTTTGCAGGCACTCTTGGTGTCATTACCGAAGCCACAATCAAAATCCGTCCACTCCCGCCCTGCAAGAAATATGGGTCCATAGTTTTTCCAGACTTTGAGTCAGGAGTGAAATGTTTACGAGAAATAGCAAGACAGGTAACTTTATTGTTGACAAATAGACTTTTAAGAATTTTAAATACTTTGTTGGTTTAATGTTGCACTTTTGAATGTTTTCAGAGGCTCCAACCATCCTCCATACGCCTTATGGACAATGAACAGTTCAAATTTGGACAGACACTTAGGCCAACTCCTGGATATCTAGGATTAATATTTGATGGGCTTAAGAGGATGTATATTACTAAAATAAAGGGCTTCAATATTGACTCAATGTGTGTGGCCACTCTGGTGTTTGAAGGTAAGAAAATGGACAAAAATAAAATAAAGATTTGATTTGAAAAAAATAATTTAATAACTGGCTTTTGCTTTTACAGGCGAGAAAAAAGATATAGAATATCATGAGAAAAAGATTAATGCTATTGCTGCAAATTTCAATGGCATCCCTGCAGGCGAAACAAATGGAGAGCGTGGTTACATGTTGACTTTTGTGATTGCTTACATTCGAGTAAGTTTACCCACCAACAATCATTTAGATAAGTCAAACAAGAATACATAATTTTCAGTTTGAAAATATCTTTTTCAGGATTTGGCACTTGAATTCAACGTTGTAGCTGAGTCATTTGAAACATCTGTTCCATGGGACAGGACAATTACACTGTGCAAAAATGTGAAACACAGAATAGGAGAGGAGTGTAAATGTAAGTATTGAAATACACATATTCATAATGATGTTACTAACAAAAATAAATCAATAATGATTCCATATTGTTTCTTTACTAGCATTAGGAATAGAGCACTACTTCATTTCATGTCGTGTAACCCAGACCTACGATGTTGGAAGTTGTGTCTACTTTTACTTTGGATTCAATTGGACCACTCTACCAGAAACATCTGATCCTCTGTCAGTTTATGAACGGCTTGAGGAGATGGCAAGGGATGAAATACTTGCATCTGGAGGTTCCCTATCCCATCATCATGGTGTAGGCAAACTACGTGCTAAATGGTTCTGTGGTCAGGTGTCTCCCCTTGGTGTTCAATTGTATAGTGCCACAAAGAGGCAGTTAGATCCCAAAAATATATTTGCCTGTGGAAACTTGGTACATATACCAAGTTCTTCTTTGTAAAGCTGAGAAGCTTTACATCTTGTTGAAAGTGTAGATCAAGTTACCTCAAATACTGATTAAAAGTACAATAGGTTTTGTTTAGTGTCATTGACACAATATTTAGACATGTAGCTCATAAACAGGGTCAACAATCCCTGAAAATCTTGTCATCCACATAACAAGTCATAATTGTCACCATTTTACTAGTCTTGTTTAAAGTACCCTGTAAATGCAACTTCACTAGCTTGCTAAGTATTTTGTAGATACGGTAAACGTTTTTATAACATTGAGCTTGTTATGTACATCACATTGAGGTTACAATGTGGTAGTGATGTTTTTGTCATGGCATTGTTGTGAGATATTTAGAGTACCTAGTTCAATCATGTTTCTTTGATGTAATTCTCTGACCCTCTTTAGAGATTATGCCAACTCTTAAGACTGAAGGCCATGGAGCTCTATAAATTTTAAAGAGACATGAAGTTTCCCAGAGTCTAATTTGTTCTTAACTAAAATTGTGAAGCTCAGGTTTCTTTGCAAGTTTACCATTGAAGTGTTTCCAATCTGATAAGGCTTCACTTAATATAGAGCAACAATAAAATTCTTTATTAAAACAGTAGTGTCATGTGTAATTCATAAGGCTGTATCTACTCTCTGTGCTAGAACAATTTGCTTTGCGAGCACAACTTTGATTAGCCATTTTGTTTATGTGTGCCATTTTTCATTTGCAGCACCGAATTTCCTGTGTTGTACCTAAGTGCACAGTGAGTGCAACACATTTTTCAACAGCAAACATTCTTAATAAAAAAATAGCAGATGCTTTTTCAACTTTACATTAGTGATCCTTACCCCTTTCAAAATAATTTTCTTGTATACATCGTTACTAACAAGACTAGAATAGGAATTTCAGTAAACAAAACACATAAATATTTATCACAGTAAAATAATTTAAATCTCGTGACCAACTACAGTACTTCTTGGGGTAGTTTCCAGTTAAACAAGTCACTCAGGGCTGACACTGAAACACCAGAAAGCAAAAGTATGAACTTAAGCATAAACAAATGAATAGAAAGCATGTAAAATTAAGCAGACTTACAGTGCTGTAACCATTCTTCTTCAGCCAGAGAATGGAGGGAACTAGCAAGAAAGCGATGGCAATGAACATAACACGTCTCCATGTTCTTTAGCTTGCTCATGGATACCTTGGATAATCCACATCGCCACATTGCATGGAGTTTTTCAGCTAAAACTACAAGCTGGAAATGTACATATAAAAAAACAGAAAATATATAAAAATAATGTCATTGTATTAACATCAAGATCCATCAGCAATTTCAAAGCAGCAAAAATGTCTTTGAAAATATGCTATATTGTATTCTGTACCTGGAAAAGTGAATTCTTGATAGGATCTGGATTGGAGGCATTGATACCTTTCAACAGAGCATTTTCCAAAAATCTTTCATGGACTAAAGAAACAAAAAGGATAGGAAAATTAATTGAAAGTCTCTTTGAGACTACATTCATGACATAATTTAACAAATGTACAAGCAGAATGTCAGTATTACCCTTGATTATTGAGTGCATATCTTTGGCATGTTTCAAGTCCTCCTCAAACTTCATCCAGAGCCCATTAAACACATATCCGGCCAAAAAGTTATAGGTGCCTCTTATAATATTAAGGAGCCAATACCTCAGATGATACATTCGCTTCAAAACTGGAGAATTGCCAGTATCATTAAAGTCTGAAAACAGGATAAAATAAGAAAATCATTTGTAACTTTAAACTATTTGATTGTTTGTATTAATTGGAACACTCACCTGCCACATCAAGCTTTTCTAAATTCCAAAGTCCCCATCTCATTTTAAGAAGCAACTTGAAAATCAAGTTGTAGGCTTTCTGACTCTCACTTTTTAAAATAGCGCACAATGGCCAGTCCACCTGATAAGTAAAGAAATTATAACAAAATACGTAGTTACAAAAAAACTAAACAGCAACAACAACAAAACTAATTACTTGGTATTTAATCTCCACCAAATCAATTATTTCTAGACTGTTCAAGTCTGAATAATTTTTATCCTCAGATGTGGTTGACAGTATAAAATGGTCTGAATCCATACAATCCTGAAGAAGGATGCTTAATGTATGTGAATTGATGACTTCTCGGTTTAATATCTGCAACAAAAAACAAGTACTAAAGTACTCTAGTTGACAATGATAAATATAAACGAAAGAATAGACCAAAAAGGAAACGCACCAGCTTGAATAATTGTGATAAAAATGGCTGCAATTTATAAGAAGCTTGTAAAAGAAACACATTGTGAGCAGTGTTCATATGATATGGGAGCTGATGTTCCTGGACTAAAATGTTAGCAACTAGAGCCCCAGCTATACTATTCCAATCAGCAGAAAGACACAAAACTGCTCTCTCTACACAAAATTCTAGGGGTAAGTTTTCTACAATTGAGTGAGATATAAGCAACAACCTGAAAAAGAGGCAACCGTTAATGAAAACTTAGATAATTTTTAAATTGGCAAAAACCAAACATATTTTGATTAACTGTACTTCTTGAGGGAGTCATCCTCAAACTTTTCTGGCTTTGAGTCACACAATTTGATTCCAGGTATATTTTTAAACATAGCTTGAAAATCTTTCATAAAACCAGGCTCTGGAATACGCTGAAGCTGACTCATGACAGCTTTCACATCAACAGCTGTGTTCTCATATGGGGTGGGATGTGGTGTTTCTTGTTTTGTTTCTGACAATCCTTCCTGGAAAAATTTCAACACACAATGAACAAGCATGTCAGGGCATACTAAACTGCAAATGAGATGTAGGTTTTTGTGTCTTACTGTAGAAATCAAAAGGTCATCCAATTTATTCCACCACGCACTAGTAGATTCCATGAGGTTCTCATCCTTATTAGTTTTAAGTAACTGAGAGGGGCTCAGATCGTGGAGCAAAGTCTGCAGGAATTGGTGCTCTAAACTATCTACATTGTCAATAGAACAATAAATTTATCAAACAATGTGTTATTCAGGCAAACCTTTCAACTAAGGATAAACAAATGAAATGAGAAATTTTTACCTCTTCTGGATGTGTGTTTACTAAGCTCAGGCAAACGGTTTAGCTCACAGAGGACGAGGAGAGGTTGGGCTGCCTCCAGCAAACAATGTGCAAGGACTTTCAAAGCCTGCGGGGGTTCAGCCAATCCAAGGGCAGCCAACTCCTTTTCCCAATCTCGCATTTCAAACGATGTTTGAAAGCTCAAACAAGTCTTGTCCCTCCTTTAAGAAGAAAGATAACAGAACAGGTAGGCATGCAAAACATAATCTCAAAAAATACAGGAAATACTGTAATAGCATACAATCTTACTTGAATATAAAGAATTCATCATAAGTATCGTAGAGATGACCACTTGTTAACCACAAATCAATTATCTTAATGTAAACTTGGAATGTTTGCACAAATATCCTAAAGAATATGGTGACATTTTCAGCAAATCGCAGCGACATTAAAACATGTGAAAGCAAGCTGTAAGCCAAAATAAGAAAATCAGAAGGCGGTAAGCACAACAGGGTATTCCAGAGAGACTACAATCTTCAACTAGGTGTTAGTGCACACCTGCAATATAAATAATGGTCTAAAATGAGATAGATGTTTAAGAGGTAATACTAGGTAATACATACTGTGTGGCACAGAGCCAGTTTGGATTCTTTTTCCAGTCCAGTACAGCTGATTTATGTACTTTGTACAAAGAGGAAATGGTGACCATCCATGGTTCAAGCTCTTTCAAAAGAGTTAAAAGAGTAATAGTACGGTCTGGAAAACAAAAATGAGTCACACAAAATCCTTTTGAAATAAAATTGAAAGGTGAGCCAAACACTCACTTTGAATATGTTCTTGTGATTCTATCTTTGATATTGCATCAAGAAAATGTTGCAGTTCACTTTGAAGGGCATGACCATATGCTTTGTATGTGCCACAAACTTGTTTTTGTCTCTGAACCTCTGAACAAAAATTTTGCAGCTCCTCAATCATATCTGCATGGCTACAAATAGAACTCATCAGAGAGGCAAAAACATCTTGGGTAAGGCTCGGTATTGTTACATGAGGACGGACACAGAAGTTACTCCTTAATCCATCTTCACTTATGACTCTAACAAAGACAGCTGTATCTTGAGGAGCTGACAGCAACCACATGCATTCTAGAATTACTTTGTGCTCACTCAATGTTGAGGTTTCAATGCTTTTATCTTGAGAAAAATCACTGAAAATGAAAAGACAAGAAATAACGATACAGTAGGTAAATACTGACAGTAATAAGCATTTAGAGCTTTGTTTAAAAAAATATTTCGTACTATAGAAATGCAGAGTTGGAATAGTTGTGATTGCTTTCAGGCTTTTCTTTGACATGTGCTTTGGACCACCAGCTGTTTTGTAAATTTGCCTTCAACCAGCTTTCAGCATTTAAAATACTTGGTCCATTCAACATAATGTGTGGCTTAACACTGGGTGAGGGTTTCACCGTCAATGAATCTTTACATTCATGACTTAATGCAGAAGCAGGTGTGCCATGCAAAGTATGCTTCGAAGTTGATGGTAAGCAATGCAGCTTTGACTCTTCGGTCGCTGGTATCATTCGATCCACTTCATCTTCCTTTTGAACAAAGAAACCAATTCATTACATAGTGATCGGGGGAGCAATAAATACAACAAACCAGCAGACAATCGTATTTCTTACATCACTTGGACTGTCATTCCAATCTTGATGAAATTCCTCTTCACCTTCTCTTAAATAGGCCCCCCAATCAAATGCTTCTTCAGCTTCTGATATAGCAGAACATTCAAGGATGCTCTCATCTTTGAGAAGAATATTGGTTGGGTTTTCACCCAAGAGAAGAAGAAGGGACAGCAAACTCCACTGAATATCCACCTTGACAGAGAAAATACAAATAATAAGGATAAGATGATACTTTACAAGATAGTAATATGAATCAGTCGACAGACTTACAGTTTCGTGACCTTTAAAGTGACAACTTTGCAGAAACTGATTCACGAGGGAGTGTAGTTGCTGCCCTCTATCAGAAAGACCGTGAACTTGAAATTTCAGAACCATTCCCTCTATCGATCGACGAACGGCGTTTGCATCAACAGACAAGAACCGATGATGGAGTAGGTTTGACAGTATGAAGCGCTCACTTGCTTTGAAATTATCATCATTTTCCTGCAACACGAGCGTTAGGTCAAGGATTTAAATTAACACGACACGGAAATTATTAATATTCAAATTTTGGCAAAGTTCTTACCTCAAAACCAGTTAAGTTCCTAATTAATGCACGAACGTCTTCTAATATTATATCTTTGAGTTTAAGAGCCATTGTAAATGACAGCTAAGGTTAAGAGAATCACAACCTTAAATGTGACGATTTTTTAAATGTCATGACGAGAGATTTGCACACACACACAAAATAAAGATTGAAGTGAGATGGGTTGAATTTTAGTTCGCGCTGCTATTGAGTCTTGGACAAAATAAACCAAATACGACGAGGAGTAAATAAGACACTCTCCACTCGCTCCCGCGTCCAAAATTCAATTTAGTCTCATGGACAGTACCAACCAACAGCTGATACAATAAAGACTCTTTGTTGCAAGAAAAATAAATAAATGTGGCATCAGAACTGTAATTTACAGCCAAAATGGCTGAAAAAATAATATTTTCTTCAATCGAAACGCCTTGGTTTCACAATAGTTAAGAATGAAGTTTAATTTTGGGTTTGTCGGGTTTGTCTTGTCAAGTTTTCAGTTCAGTTGAAGGGAAGGAAGACGTTTTCCACTTGTCTAGAAGGCAGTGCCAAATAATGCACAAATTTTGTGCGTCGTAAACTGGATTATTTCCAAACGTTATATTTGGATTCAGTAATTTGTTACGTTTAGTCGTTCTCATAAATTTATGAGACTTCAATTCTGCACCAGGAAGTTTATCTGTTTGAGAAAGGTACTTTTGATTAAATTTATCATGTGGTGGGGTTATGATCATTTGGAACTCCCCCAGTACACATAATGTCATTCATCATATTGTTTAACAATTATGAGTGCATTTAACGGGAAAAGAAAGCATCAAAGTCCAAGCAAGCTGCCAGCCCGCTCCAACGTTGACTACCATCGCAAGTTATCCGGCCTGAAGAGAGTCATCAAAGACATAGTACTCGAGAATGCTTACCTTTGTGATGAAGTAGCTCAAGTCCATGAAGACACTTTGGTTTTGAAGGAGGAAGTGCGCTCTCTTTTGAAACGGCTGCACCAAATTGAAGCGAGTGCTGGTATTGAAAGTACGTTGCAGCCTCTGGGCTTCAGTTCTCAGGACGGCCAAACTTCATCCCCTGCACCAAAAAAGACTGTTAAGCGAAGGGCAGTTCCAGATGAAGAGGTGAACGGAAGTGCCTTGCCACATGTCTACAAGCAGAAAGTTGGCGGAAAGAACAAGGCAATCAAAGAAGAGCACTTTGAAGTAGATATTGCTGACTAGTAATTGACTTGATAATACTCTCAGTGGATAACCATCACTTCTGAGACTATACATCTTTTTAGACTTGTGGTGTGTACTCTTAAATAATCTTAAAGTGTTGTCTGAAAGATGAACCTTTTTTTTTGCAATTGCTTTCTTGTGCCTTTTTTTACCCAAAATTCATTGTTAGTTTAATTTCAACTCTTATAGCCTTTCAATTCATACATATATTTTGGCTCATGTAGAAAAGGATCCCCAACATTATTTGCTCACAACTTTAAAGAGATTCTTTTGTAGTGAAGCTTATAGTTTTACCATATAAGCCTTATTTTCACTGAGCTTTGTTACATGTGCATTTCTTGCTTCCAGAAATCAAAGCATCTATATCAAGATGGACGATGAATTACAGCATATGGCAATGGACTCTCCCATCAGTGCTGCTGCGTTAGGACTTCCTGCCCATCTGACTGACATCACCCTGACTGCAACGTCACCAAACCTCCAACGTGTAGCCAATGGTAATGGCTTTCAACAGTTACCTCCAGGCCACTCAAAGTATGCACAGTTGCTTGCGGTCATAGAAGAAATGGGCAAAGACATTCGCCCAACATACGCAGGCAACAGGGGTTCTGCAGAAAAGTTGAAAAGAGGCATTGTGCAAGCTCGAATCTTAGTACGAGAGTGCCTGATGGAGACTGAGCGAAGTGCTAGACAGTGACCTGACAGTAACCCTGTATCAATATATGTATCAGGACTTTAATTTTGGTGTTAGGTCTTCAAGCATCTTATGCTCTTTTATATGAAACTTTTTTCTCTAAATTTTGTGCTTCTATAGTACAAATATGATGTTCATTCTCCTTCTGGAAATTCTTATCTAATGTAGGTTTGATGTGTCAAGTACCATGTTTGTGTTGTCGTTATCTTTTCATTCTTAGTCAATTTAGTGTTGTCCATTACCATAGTTCATTTTAGCCCAATATATATTTTACACCTATATTTTTGATTGTATATATTAGAGGCAGCTTTGTGATTAATGTGAACTCAGGGATTTGGTACTTGAAGTACTCAGGGATTTGGTACTTGAAGTACTCAGGGATTTGGTACTTGAAGTACTCAGGGATTTGGTACTTGAAGTACTCAGGGATTTGGTACTTGAAGTCATTGTGTACCGAAGTGATATGTTGTTCATTTGCTCTCAAAGATATGCCAAGTTTATTGGTACTTTCTCTCTTTTTTTAAAATGTGTAGGGATTCACTAATTTGTGCACTCCAATGGGTGCTTCAGTGATGTGGTTTTAATGTATCTGCACTTGTAAACCATTGTGACTGTTAAATTAGTGGCCCTTAAGCCTTCCTGTTCACTTCCTGGTGGGTGGTTGCACCTAGCTGTATACTGCAACTAAAGAGTCTGACCTTTATTTCCCATTTCTTTCAAATGTACCTGGGTTTTTATTTTGCTTTGAATTTTTCCAAATGGTAGCTCTTGTTTAAAATTTTAAAAAATGTTGTTTCCCTATTTAGTTTTTGGTAATTGTGATTTTAATACTGTTGAGGCTGAGTCACTATCAAAGCTGAGATATTTTTGTTAACTGATTGTCCCCTCTAAGCAATATTTTGGTTAGGTATTTTCTTACTCATGTAAAAGCTTATGCGAAGACTGCTTTATCTAGGTTGTTTGTGTGTGATGTGATGTAATAAACCGTGATTTATTCAATCTGTCATAATTTAACATCCTTTTCCCTTGAAGTTCATTGAGTAAATTAGAAATGAAACCTAATTTGAAACTTAATTTAGTTTAACTGATTTGATTTTATCCATTCTTTGCAGACATGACTACAGCAAAATTTACAACAGTCTTTGACTGGGATACAATCCAAAGTGCTGATTCAACTGAGTGGTGTCCACTAGCTCCAAATCAAAATGTATTTGTTTGTGGTACTTACCAAATAGAGAAGAAAGAGGGGGAGGGCAATGATCCCTCATCCCCACCAACGCATCGCCTTGGCAGAATTTATGTTTTTGAAGTATCTGATACACTTGCTCTGAAGCCGCATCAAGTCTTGGACCTTCCTGCTGTTCTTGACTTGAAGTGGTCACTCCAGAAAATCTGTGGAAAAACCCTCCTGGGTGTTGTAACAGCCACTGCTGCATTGTTAATACTGGAATTGCAAGAAGACAAACAGCTTGTAAAACTCTTTGAAACTGAGGTGAAAGGTCCTAATGATATCAAAGAAACACTGGCTCTTTCTTTGGATTGGTCTTGTGGTAGATCTTCAGTTGATGCCTTTGGGGATAATCAAGTTTATATTACTGTTAGTGACTCTCAGGGTGGAGCAAATCTGTTTAAAATTTCTGAAAATATGGATTTGACTTTATTGAAAAGGTGGCAAGGACATGAATATGAAGCATGGATTTGTGCATTTAATTATTGGGAACCATCAGTGGTGTTTTCTGGTAGGAATTTCTTCGTTTAATTGCCCTCTGTGTCATTAGGCTGGATTTTTCATGCTAACCTTTGTTTTATTTTTATTTTCCGGCCAGGTGGTGATGATTGTGTACTGAAAGGGTGGGACATCAGAACAGGTCTGGACACTCCTATCTTTTTAAATCGCTCACACAATGCGGGAGTCACAAGTCTTCAGAGTAATGCGTTATTTGAAAACATATTGGTGTCTGGAAGGTCAGTGCATACGTAAAGAGTTCCAGAGATGACAATAAAATATGTTCATGCATGAGTTTCCTGGTTTTATGTCCATGTTGGAGAATAATGGTTTGTTCTTTTCACGTTTCAGTTATGATGAGCAGCTACGGATGTGGGATACTCGAAAAATGAAGAATCCTCTTCATTTGCTCAATTTATCAGGTGGAGTGTGGCGTGTAAAGTGGGATCCTTTCTCTCATAATTCGATTTTAGCTGCATGCATGCATGGAGGTTTCCATGTGGTCAAATGCAAGGACACCCTTAATAGTTCAGGTGAACCAACAATCTTAGCTTCCTATAATAATCATGCTAGTATTGCCTATGGTGCTGACTGGTGTCATCTTGACTCGCCATCTGTGAAGATGTTGTTTGCTAGTGATGAAGGTGCTCTGCAACCAACTTTGGAATATGATCATAACTTAACCCTGGTCTCTACTTGTTCCTTTTATGATCATAAACTTTGTGTTTCTGTGTTGTCTGAAAAACAAACCTAAATTAGGATCTTTCTTTATTAATAAATTTTAAATATATGTGTACTATGTTTAAATATTACAGCAAAAAAAAAAAGGTTACATAATTCAATCAATGACTAGAATTATCACAGTGTGCAGATGTAAAACAATGCAATGAACACAATTATTTTGTGGTGAAGTGAATATGCAGGGCTTTTCCTAATGATTCACACCATTCCTAACAGGTCACAAACAGGCATATTAATTATGGCTGCTAAAACAGGTTGTGATTGTCCGTCTTTTACAACTAAGACTCTGACTTGATCTGAGAGAGCTAGTTCCGATATGTTCCGAATCATAGTTTCAAAGGGATACTCTAATCCAGGCACCAAAAGTGGGACCTGTAATAAGCAGTTTTAAATAATTAAGGACTTGTCTTTAACTGAAATATTCATTTAAACAACAAAAGTTTTTAAATTTTACTCACATTGATGAATGGTTTATCCATAGAGTACATCTTGTCATCAAAATGAAAGAGGATACCCAATCCTTGGATCATAGAGGAAGCTGATATGTTCTGAAGAGAAATTACCATTTTAAATAATGGCCCCAGTCCCAAAACCTGTGATAAGAAAATTGTCACAATCTGTAGAGGTAGCTGGCATCACTAGGTTACTTTCAAGACTTTGCCAAATTACCTGTGCTGAAAGTTTGAGTGGTTCTGCCCCTTCCAGAGAAACTGGGTTGTTGCATGACTGCAATGCTTTCACACAGGCTCTGGCCACATCCACTCTAAGCTGGAAGAGGTCTCTTTGAAAAGTCCTGTGCATCACTGCAATGATTTAAGTAAAAATTAATAATAATATTAAATGAGAGGGGAAAACAACAACAAAATGGTGTCTACTTACTGACGCAATTATCTCGTTCTCGCATTGTCTGGTCAAGAAATAGTCGGGTCTTTTTGGGAATTTGGAGTTTTATTTGTTGGGCAGCACCAGGTGCAACACTGGCAGTATTGCCTCCACCATTCAAGTTAAAATGAGCAGTCCTTTTCAGAATCTTAACCAAAAGACTGCCATCTAATAGCATTAAAAAAACATTGTTACTTTCAATAAAATAAGAGACACAGAAACAGACTGCAGACTATTCTCTTAAGAAAAGCAAATAATTTTTATCAAGAAGTCTTAAAGGTGCACTTACCGACAGTGAACATTATAAGAGCATTTTCTTCTTGCCCAAATCTACCAAAAACTAGCCCTGACACAGACTGTGGGGCTTTTATCACATCGACCAGCTGTCTGCCATTGTAAAGTTGAAGCAAACCACCATTCAAGGAAACAGCAACAAGAGTTGCACTCTGGTGCGGCAAGGGTACTGGACACAATGCACATGCAGCAGCAGGTAAATTGATCATCCATTGCAGCTTGCCCTAAGATATGAGGAAAATTAATTAAAATCATAGTCAAAATTGTGGATAAATTAAGGTTTATAAGTAGCGGCTTAATCTCGAACCCAATGCAAGCAAAGGAGCAACAAAATACCTTTTTTGAATAGCACTGCAGTGTTTGATTCATCAATGCAATGGTTATTGAAGCATTGTCTGGACTAATAGTCATGGCAACAGGTTGAGCAGGAAGTTGAACCAAGGTTTTAGTTTCAGTCCATCCTCTACGAGCAAGCCTCAAACTGCCATCTCTGCAAGCTGCCACTATGCGAAACTCCACAGCATGCAGACCACATGCAGAAAGTACAGCTGGCACAGCCAGTGTTGTACTATCTTCGTCTGAAAGTTTTATCTGAATAAAAGAAGTTTCAAGAGTTACATTAGGGGAAAAGTCACCTGTATATCCTGGTTATTAAAATTTTAAAATAACATACCTTTTCTAGGATAGTAAATGCTTCTGGATCTAAAACCAATATCTCAGAACTTTCTGTACCAACAACCAAACACGACACTGCAGTCTCCTCAGCTAGGGCCTTTTTTAATGTTGTCATGCATGTAACTACAGTCTGTAAATAATTTTTATTCATTATTTTTCTAACGATTGAAAAACATATTTCATTTGATGTTAATGAAGATAAGACTGACCTGTCGTTTTACAGGAAATTTGCAGTTTTGTTGGACAAATGACGATGTATTTGAGGAGTCTAAGGTTAGCAGATGTTGAGACTGTGTACTCATCTGGGAAAACCCAATTTCAGCGCGTAGATTGTTCAGTAACTCAATGAAGACTCCATGTTCAATTTGTTCATCTCGTACCTGGAAGAATAAGGAGAACATTACGTCAAATTTCTGAACTTGAAGTGTCAAAAGACCATACAAATATCTACCTGCATCCACAAATCTTTCTCCAGAGGGTTGATATCCATTGAAGGCAGGGAAAATTTAAAATAGGGACGCATATTTTTATAAATGTAAATGTTGGACCCTGATGCTACAGCAATGGCTGTAAATATACATTGAAAGTGGTCAATTCAAAAACTGGGGAGTCTCCAAATGTTTCAGTTTTAGGAAAACTTGACTACCTGGCATTCTAGGCTCATTTAAATCCATGTAAAATGATGTTACGCCAGTGGGTACATCCAGTAGGGCTGTCTCAGAATGTAAGGAAGTTCCTTTATAAACCTGAAAATAGTTTAATAATTTTTAATTTAAAAAAAATTTACAGTTTAATAAAAAATTTGTTTCAAAGAGCAATACACTCTCAAAGAGCCTGGTATATATATCCTGATATACCTTTAGTTTGACATTCGTTGAACCAGTACCAAGATCTGCAACTACTAGCTTAAAATCACCATCAGCATTTAAATCTGCCAACGTTATACAAGAGCTGAACGTATAAACTGCTGCACGGGTGTCAGTGTGAGCATTAAGCCATAGCTGCTCGTATTCCAAGTTTCTTGGGGAACTCATCATTGTAATGATGTGTGCAGTCCGAGGACTTCCACGATCAAATCCTGCAAAACATTCCAGCGCCCAAACAAACAAACAAACAAAAACAAGTAGCAGAAAGCAGCACAGGTAGCGCCACCGTCGCGGATGGAAGCGAGCGAGATCTCGAGAGCAGACGACTTGTCGGCGCAGATGGCGCTGCGGTCGCCGTGTTGTGTTGCTGTGTTGTGTCACGGTTTAAAGTTTTCCACAAATTAATGCACTTCAGCAGAATCAGAGAAAAATTTGGTCTAGCTGGATTTTGGAATTCTTAAATAATGTTAGTCATACCAGGTCGTTTTAACTTGCTTCGACACCAATATTAAGGAGTTATGTCTTAGTTGGGTTAACATCTGCTGTTGCTGAAATTTCTTCATAAGAGACATTATTTGCTATTTTGCTGATGTGTCAACGAACATTTTGAGATGTTGATCGATGACACGCTGGTGTTGAAGTCGTGAATATGCCGTTTATGTGATGGCAACCTTGTCTCATTCTTCTGAACCCAGAGGGGACTGGAGTTTTTGCAAATATTGTTCAAATGTGAAATTCAAAGTCCTCCAGGACTTAACTCGGTATAAATGCATAAAATTTAGTATTAAATTACTCATTTATTTCTTCTTAAGATCCGTTCTATTTATTTGTCTTAATTGCAGACATTTACGAGAAAAGCACTGTACGAGAGAGGGAGGTTCCTATGTGTGTCGATATGGACACAATGGTGTATGTTCATCTCTTCCTGTTGATGGAGTGAGTGATGTCGACTACGAAGATCATGTGCTGCGACATCATGTTGGAGTCACTGGCTTACCTGCTCTAGTTACTAATGGAAGTAATCAGATCAGTCAGCTGGAAGTGCATAAGATGTCGGGGAACTTAAGTCGAAGAGTCAGTTACAGTGATGCACCGCTTTTAGCGACTGAAGGAAGTAAATGGACTGTATACTCTGGCTCTCAAAACTTACCAGCTGTTCTAAATGACCCAAACAGGGGCAAGCAGGTTTGTAGAAATTACAGTGATGCTAAGGATAAATACAATTGATAGTAGTTGTATGTATTCATGTTCCAAATTATTTATCTCTTGCAGAAAGATTTTTTCACTAAACTGTGGGGTGATAGTTTTGTTGAAAGGACTGACATTCAACCTTCACCTTATTTACCGGAAATAACAGCAGCGCATTTTGAATCATATCTTCGAAAAATTGGAAAGGTAGGGTTGTGATAGCTTTTTTTAAACTTTTGTTTAAGTGGTAATATTGACTTTATACTGAAACATTTTTCATTCAATGATGCAGAGATACAAAAAACATGAACGTATGAAAGTAAGTGCTCCTCAACCTGAGAACTTCCAGCTGCTTCACTCATTTCCTAATTTAAGGGTTCCTCCCCTCCGCTCAACAGGTAATTTTTGTCAAAATTTATTTTATGGTTTGAAAATATTTTCAATTTGCCACTAATTCAATTTTATATTGTTTCTATCTTTTTTACCTTGCAGATAAATTGAAAATTGAGGTTGATGCTATTCCCAAAATTTTTTTGCAATCCAATTTTAGCCTTAGTGACCCTGAGACTTTTAATGCAGTGTACCATGCATCTGCAGACAATGCCTCTGCATCAGTATCTAGTGTGTCATCTGGAAAATTACTACAAGAGCAGGTAAATTTTCCATCTCATGAAACCTGAGAGGTTTCCTTTAGGTCAAAATTTTACTATACTCTCATTTCTTCTTATTATGCAGTTAAGTCATTACTTGGATATGGTTGAAGTACAAATAGCCCATCAGGTAGCACATAAATCTGATGCCTTCTTCTTGGCTATGAGGTCACATGATGCCCTCATGGAACAAATGACAGAAACCATTTCTGTGGTTAAATCATTGCGGTGAGCTTTTCATAAGAAATTTGGTAATGTTACAAGAAATTGTGGTGTGATAACTCTTCATCATTTCATTTTTTCTGTTATATTACAGAGGCAGTGTAAAAGTATTAGATGAAACACTTGTTCAAGATTCTTTGAAAATTCTCAAACTCAAGAGAGCTCGGTCCAATTATGTACGGGTCTATCAAAAGGTATATTATTATTATTAATTTAGTCTGAGTGTGTGAACTTCTGCTATTTGACTCATAACTATATTTTCATTAACCATTTTGCAGCTTAAGCTTATGGCAAGTGTGAGAGAGACTCAGCCCATGATTCAGTTATTGCTATCAACTCCTGACTATGTTGCTGCTCTTGATCTTATTCAAACTTCTCAAGAGATGTTGAAGCAGGAGCTGCCGGGTATTTTGAGCTTTCGGTATGAAACAAATTTGATAAGAGCTTTGTTGTTTTGACCTGAACTTTTTATCAAATTAATGTAAATGATTTAATTTGAAACAGACATTTGGGCTCCCAATTAAATGAGATGGGTCGTTTGATTGACAAGATGCTTAGTGCTGAATTTGAACGTTATGCTACAGCTGACTTGAACCGTCCCTTGGATGGTGAGCAGGGTGTTCTTGAAGGAGTAAGTACTTTTTCTTGTAGAAACTTGGTTCATTTACAACAATGTATGATTCAAATGCTCATCAAAAAATTTATTCTAGGACAAATTGGTGTCAATCATACTTGGGCTTCTGAGGCAGAAGCACTTCAACTTCATTGATACATACAAGTCGGAAGCATTCACAACTATTCGTGCTGTTGTAAAACAGGTGAACCTCCTTCCTCCTTCTATCTCTGATTCAATCAAATTACAGAATTGCTAATGTTTTCTTGTGTATTTCAGCTGGTCATTGAAGTGGTTGCAGCAAGTGATGGGATTTCAAATGATGCGGACTTGTCCCTGGGAGATCAGATGCAAGCTCTTTCTGTCTCAGAATGGTTTAATCTTATTCAGCGAGCCACAGATACATTGATGAATTTGGTACTCCATGTTAAGGTAATGTGCTCTCAACAGACCTTTTTTCGTTTTTGAAATGCTCTTCATCACATCTTGACTTTGATTTTACGTTTGAATCTAAATCAATCTCATTTTTCTAGGCTGTCTATGATGTTATGAGAGATGCAGCAGATGTTAGTGCTGGAGTCACATCCCAAAAATCAGGAGAGGCGTCTAGTGGTCAAGTTTCTGTGTAAGTGTCTGTTTGAATTACCGTAATGGATTTATGTTTAAAAATCATTTTATCATTTTAAGTACTTTTTCCTATTTTTTTATTTTAGGTGTGAGCCTCCAGATATTTTTTTGTCACCTGAAGAACATGAACGTGTTTGTGGCAAACTTGAAGAAATGCTGGGAGCTGTTTGTGATTCAGTTCATGAAAGATGTGCTCAGTTACTCTGTGCTCAGCCCTCTAGCACACAGTCTGCATCATCCCGGTTAGTTATAGTTTAATCAGCAAGTCATGTTGTTTGTTGGACCTTGTCTATTAAAATTCTTGATAAAATTTAGGGACTCATCATCTACATCAGCTGTATCGCACAATACTAGTACTGTCAATGGAAATGCAAGCAGCAGTGCCAATAGCTCCAACCCAACAGCTGGGTGGTTGGTAGAGAGAGCTTCTCCTTCACAAGTCTGTACTCTAAACAGGCTAGTGGAGAATTTTTGTGAACGTTGCCACCAAATATCGGGTAGGCAGAGCACTGCCCTGCGTTCTGCTTTCAAAATGCAGGTTAGTGGTTTAGAACCAGAACCTAGTTGTCCTATATTAATATATTAAGTCTTTTGGTATTACCGTAATATATTAGGCCCTTTTTTATGAACACCTACCTCCCTTTTCAGGCAAGCAAATTTGTAGTTAGATTTAACCAAGAGAGACGAAATAAGTTAAGTCTCATTCTTGATAGTGAACGATGGCGCCAGGCAGATGTCCCTGCTGAATTTCAGGCTCTTGTTGGTCGTATACATTCTACAGGTGAGTGTTCTCTAATATTATCAGACCAATTTGTTTGAAGTTTCTTTGATGTACACCTAATTGAATTCAATTTTATTTAGGAATATTTGGGACATCTCGCCCTGAAAGCAAAGCTGATGAAGGTGACTCTGAGCAGCCAAGCTCTGATTTACTTCAAGTTGGAAATGAGTCGTTTGCTGTTGTAGGGTAAGTTACCAAAACTGCATCTCACATGAATTTTGGTTGGCCATTTATATATTTATATTTATGAACTTTCTGTTTTTTTCTCAGAACTGTGTTGCTAATGGTCAAAATGACAGCCGATTATTGCAGTTGTGCGTCTGCTCTTCCAGTTTGCGCTTCTGCTCTTGCTCGCTCAGTCGCAGAGCTGTTGATGCATTTTAACTCTCGCTGTTGTCAATTAGTTCTTGGAGCAGGGGCAATTCAAAGTGCAGGTTTAGATACAATTACGACAACCAATCTTGCATTGGCATCTCGAGCACTGCAATTACTTTTATGGCTCACTCCACATGTCCGCGTTCACTTTATGGGTAAGTGTAAACTTGGTTATGCTGCACTTGATGCTTTAACATTCCATGAACTTTTTTGATGAATCAGTATAGTTTACCTACAATGATATAATTTTTCTTGCAGGATTACTTTCAACTAATGGTGGGAGTGCAGTGGGAAATCCTCTGGTGCGCGCTAGCCCTAGCAATCCTCTTGTTCAGCTAGACACAGTAGAAAGAGATGTAGCCAGCCATGTTCAAGAAATAGAATCTAAGATTCTTACAATTGTGTCTTCATTACTTAGTGTCCAACTGGATCGATGGGAAGTAAAGCCCCCTGTACCCAGCCAACCTTTCAGGAATATATCGAGGTATGTTTTCTAGGACCCCTTTGCATGTTTGTATTTTTTACTTCAAGTCAATTTGCACACTTTTCTTATTTTTGTTGTTTTTCTTTGACCAGGCATTTAACAAAGCTGCACAAAGCGGTTGCAAACATCATGCCTCAGGAGCAAGTTCAGCGCTTGTATCGTGGAATGCATCGCAACTTCAAAGACCGTGTGTGGGATCATCTTGCCAGGATTGGTGTTGTCAATAATGGAGGCCCCCAACATGGGTGTGTATTTTGATTTTGATTTTTATGAACGTGACTCGTTTGAGATAACATGTTTTAAAATACTGCATTGCACTATTTCAGAGTGGTCACAGCAGAACTAACATTTTACTTGGAAACTTTGCGGTCATTGAAAGTACTTCCAGCAGAAGAATTAGGAGATCAAACTTTGCAAGAAGTGTGGAGGTGACAACTTAAGTGATAGTTTCTTGAGATAACATGGTAGTATTTGTGAGGAAAATATTATTTGCCATAAGACTGAAAATGTCTAAATATTTAGTGTATTTTGTCAGTTTTTCTTTGGAGTTGTTTCCCTCATTGGATGTGCAGTGCACTCCTCTCAGCCAACTCTTTGCCTTTGCCTCAATAATGCAAGAGATCACTAAATATTGTTTCTGTAAAGTTTCTCTTTTATGTTTGTTATGCATGATGCATTTCTATTGTCTAGTCATCATTGGTTTGTTATGTTGTCATACCACGTGTGTCAGAGTCTGTGCACTCCTACCAGCATTGTTGGCATTCTTGATAGAGATCTGCTGCCCATTTTATGCATCAATCTCATACTGATTGGTTATTTTGTTTTGCTTTTATAAATGATTAATATAAAGTGTTTTTCTATTATTAAATGTTTTTCTAATGTTAAAAACTCTTTGGTCACTTATTTGGGATGAGAAATGAGGACAGGCTAGGTCTAATTTTCATATTCCACTATGTTTTGATTTTGTATTTTCCAATACTGCTGTCTTGTTCAGCTTTTTGAAATCAAATTTTTTAAGAGGTTGTATGTTACTATGTACATCCTGGATTGTCTATGTCAATATTGTTATCAATTTGGAGATCGTGAGGAAACAATATGAACTAACCATTGCTGGGACCAATTTATCTCCTCTCTTTGTTTTTGTATCCCCTGTGACCATCATGCTGTGACACTGAATCTAGTAAACTCAATCAATCTTACTACAGGATAATCATTGGTTTACTCCATGTGTCAATTAAAATATCAAGTCCTTAAATAAACAGCAGTATTATATTTTAACAATTTATTCATTTCCTCTTCAAACTACACACAATCTTACCCTTCAAACCGACTCCTTTCGCAGACCAGGTGCTCTGCTCACAGCGAATCGCACATCTCAACTCAGTGTAATCTGAGCAGGCCACCTTCACTCTTAAGTTTTAGCGGCCTCTCGTATTATGGAACCTTTAACGCCTGTGAGGTAGGCCACCGGGCCGGCCCGCAACAGACCTGTGTGGAGACGGTGGCCTGCTATTCTCGCAGGGGCTTGGTAGACCGCCGTCTTAACACCTGTGTATTGCGGGTCGGGCCGGTGGCCTACCTGGCAGGCGCTACCATTACCATTAGAGGCTAGACCACAGCGCCAACAGATCATGGGCACGCGGTGCTCTCGAAGGACATGAGGGTAGCTATATCAAACTCAAACGACGAAACTGATGGGGTGACGTGCTATACGTCGATGTACTACAGCCCTCACAATTGTAGATTCTCAAACTCAAACTCCTCGGATGTTTTCCCCCTGCCACCACCGAATGCAGCGCCGGGGCGCAGTTCCAGACCAGCGGTTTCCAACATTTTCTGGCCTGTAAAAAGAAACGGCTGCAAAATTTTCACCCCCTCCCCCTCTATATTCATCTCCTTCCCTCACTCAAAATAATTTAAAAACATAACAATGATATATTTTTTCAAAGTATTGGTTTGTGCCAGGGTTGAAAACATTAAAATTTTTATGAGACACTGATTTTTGGGTCGCAAGACATATGGAACGAGTGTTTTTGCTCCTCTTAAATGTGGAGGGATATTGCGGTGCGACCACACGCCACCCTAGCCACAACGACAACAAGGGTTGGGTGGAGAACCGCAGCGCTGGCCGCTAGCCGAGCCGAGCCATTTCAGAGAGTCCTGCATTGGCTCTTCGTTTCGTCTCATGGGACACCGGGGCACTCATGGGACAGTGGAGAGACAGCGACGGGCCGCCCGCCACCCTTGGCGATGCCGTGACGATGCCGCGGCGATGCACCACTGGAAGCGCGGGAAGCAACAAGCACTGCGAAGGGGGAGGGGCCGCGCCGCCCGCACCGCGCCGCGGGATAGGCGTGCTGGGCCATGGCGTAGCGCCGGTGGAGGGGGCGGGGTCGGGGCGGGGCAGGCGGGGGTCCTGAGACCGGCGCGGCGGCGCGGCCATGTGGAGTGGAGCCCCAGTCGCACCGCACCGCTTCGCTCAGTCAAGCCCGCCGCCCCGCGCCCCGCACCGCTGCAAACACGCCGCGAGGCACGGCGCAGCACGCGCAGCACGCGGCGCAGACGACACGACAAAGTGCCTGGGAGCCGGCGGCGGACACGAGACACGGCCGCCATGTGACGTCAAGTGACACACGCCCCGTCCACCCGGCAGTGCCGAGCGACGCAGTGACGCAGTGACACAGTGACACGTCGAGGAGCGACTCGCCTCGAGTACCCGGGACTCCCCGTGGACAGTCCGACAGCCCTCGGCCCCGGTGCACCGGGGTGGCTGCGAAGAGCCTCGTCCTGGTGGCGTTCCGGGCCGAGCGAAGACCGAGCGCGGTGCCCGGCCTATCCCAGCCGGGGATTCCCGTTTCAAATCATCGCGGTCGCCTCCACCCTCGAGCAGTCCAAGCTGTGCTAGTGTTGTGCGGCGTCCCGGCGTCGCTGCGGTCGGCTATCCTGCCACCGCGTTGCGACGAGACACGAGAAGACCAACTTAGAGCGCGATCGAACGGACAGGGCCAGTGCGAGTTTCGATTATCTCTGAGTGCCTCAAACTAGAAAAGGAACCGCGGTGCGTCGCTCCACCTAGTGATGCCCATCGAGAGATAAATCTGGCCGGTGCTGCGTCTGTGTGCGTGCGTGCGTGACCGCTGCCCCGCTGCCCCGCATCTCCGTGGCGGCGCTAGCGCTAGAGCCGGCCCGACAGGCCCCACACCGGTAAGAGGAAGAGGCGACGCCTCCCCGTTTTGTTTTCGTGTCGGCGCGCTGCTGACTGATTCCGAGACTCGTTTTCATCGCGCAGCCATAGGGTCTCCCGTTCAGGTGCGAAAGAGACAGAGCGACGATAACGACTCTCGGAATCAGTCTGCAGCGTTCACTGCGTTTTCTGCAGCAACACACCACCTTGCCCTCTGCCCTGCCTGCCGTCAGTGCGTTCCCTTCCCAGTACCTTGCTGGGTAGTGTTGCGCCTTTTCCTTCTAGCAGGGCCGAAGTAGTGCTGTTTGCCTACCTTGGTGTCCAAGGAGTCCCGGATCCGCGCCTGCTTGCCGTGCCTGCCGACAACTTTTTTCATTACCAGGCACGCCGTGCCGCTCCGCGCCGAGCCGAGCCGCAAACAACGTGCGGGGCCGCTTGTCGCGCAATTCACTTTTTGACAACGTGTGGGATTAGCGCGAAGGGACAGCAGCCGGAGCTAGCAGCACACGTACTCCGAGAGTCGTTTCCGTCGCTCGGTCTCTCTCGCTCCTATGCGGGACGCCTCGTGATTGTGAGAGGGACAGACAGAGCGACGTAAACGACTCTCGGTCTGCAGAAGCGGCGGTGGCGGGACGCGTCCCGCGGCGTCCCGCGCGCCTCCGCCATCCCTTGGTCTCGCCTCTTTATTTTCTTCCAAAGTAGTCTCCACGGCCAATTGTCGCTGGCGTCGCGGAAAGTTGCAGCGATGTAACGGAGAAGTTTAGAGTCCGGTCGCCCGGATGCCAATGTGTCCCCAGGGTATCAATAATATCGCACTGCTGGAACTCTCCTCCACCACCACCAGCCAGCGCGCTCCACCAGGCTCCACCAGGCCCGACCCGCCGGCCACTGTTTTCCCAAACTGTCGAGGCGTGCAAGAGAGAGACCGCCCAGCACTCGGCATCAGTCTACTGCCTTCTGCGACAGCAGATGCACGTGCAGAAACGGCCACCATTCAGGTGTAGGGTTGCCAACCTTGTTGTCCGCGTGCCCGTGCGAGTGTGTGTATGTGCGCGCTCACACCCATTTTCGCGCCAGTTCGACCGCCGTGGAGGAGGGAGCTCATTTCCGGCGGGAACCGCATCCGGAACTGCACGGCTTGCACAGCGACGCCGCGCGGTGCCGCGGCTAGGCGGCCAGGCCAGGCTAGAGTCCTATAGTGGTCCTATAGTCCTATAGTCCTAATTCTAAAGAGCATTTCGAGGGTGGCTGGCGATCAGAGTATGAAAAATTCAGTTGGTTCACTCTTCTCTCCCACTATAGGACTCTAGGCCAGGCTAGCGGCCGGGCTAGGCGAGGCGGCCGGGTCAGGCTCCACGGTGAGTGTCCGCGGCGGCGGCGGCGGCCGTGTGTTCGCCGCCTTTGCGTTCGCACGGCGCGGCTCGCCACGGCCGGGCCGGGCCGGACAAAGCGCCGGAAGAAAAGGAATTGTCAAATTGGTCGAGACCGGTCGAGACTCTCGAGCGGCAAATGGAGCCGTGGGCTTCTCCTCGCGCGCCACTTGTTGTCGCGGGCCGGCAGGGCAGCGGAGGGCCGCGTTGGCATTGTGCCCCCACCACCCCTCCCCCGCCCTTCATTACTGCCAATATGCCGGCGACAAAGCCGTACAATGCCCGTTGGCACGCCTGTCGGCACGGCCCGCCCGGCCCGCCCGGCCCGGCGGGGGTGTCGCCCAGTGTCGCCACTCTTTTCCATTCCGAATGATATAATCCTTTTGTAAACACGATACGCTAATAAGCCGCCGCGCTGCTGTGTGCTGCCCGTGACATGCCAGCGAGGGGAAAAGGAGGGGGGGGGGCTGTGCGTTTGACGGGCACGCGGCGGGAGTCTCACCCCATCCCACCTCTCACAGTTTGGCAGTGTCCGCGGCGCCTGCCAAGCACTGCCCAAGTGGAGGGTCGTTTCGTCGCCCTGTCCCTCTCGCACTCGCCGGGGCGCCCTCTGAGTGCGAGAGGGACGGAGCGGCTCTTGTAACACCGGCCGTCATCATCAGGAGGTCGAGACCCGACTCGGGACGATCCCGCCTCCCTGAGGACCTTCCGCTGGCGCGCTGTTTTTCCCCGTTGGGCTGGGCAGTGCAGGGGCCGGCGAGGCCCAGCACCCAGCATCCCGGCCCGGCCGGCCAGCACCCCGACAGGTGCGCCGGCCGTCCTCGTCACAAAGCAGGCAATCACGTGGTGACGTCCGGGAAATTGCTTTCTCGAATGAGGGACATGGATCGGGGTCCGCACTGCCATCGCCGAGGTGGCTGGCTGGAGTCCTAAATCCCGAAGCCCGGTCCCCGGTATCCCAGGCCCGGTGCACTCGTTCCAGAGATGCGGCGATGCAGCCAACAGTGTGCGGGCCGTGCCGTGGGGGCCAATCGCCCTCCTCCTTTTGTTCCGTTTGGCGGCAAACTTGATCCGTTGTGACGGTTGTGATGGGTGGCGGCGATGCGGGCCGCGGTTCGATCCCGGCTCGCCCCAATTAATTTTTTTGCGCGCTATCGCGCGGGCGACGGGATGACGGGGCGGGCAGCTGCCACTGACGGCGCGCCGCACGTCGCGTCGTTAGGAACGGATTCAGATTCAGATTGGGATCGTGTCGCTAGCGGAATGCCAATAATAGGAATCGCAATCGGGCGCCGTGCCGCCGTGCGCCTCTCTCTGTTGCTGGCTCCTTTTTGTTATTTTGCTCGGCAAAGATTTATCGGACGCGTTGACGTTGTCGCCACCAGAGGGACGCCGCAGCACGCCGGGCAGCAGCACGGCCAACACGGCCAACACGGCCAGCACGGCCAGCACGGCCTCGGTGGCGATGACTGGGATGACAGATGACACCTGACGGGGCCGGACGCCGCTGCATCGAATCACGGTGCATTTCCGCTCGGCCAGGCCGGAGGGCCGGAGGCGGGGGCCCGGCAGGGTGGCTGTCAGGGGGTGGCGGCCCGGCGGGGCGGCCAGGCGGCCCTGCAGGGCAGGACGTGCCCTGCAGGGCGGCGTGAAGCGGCCAAGGGAAAGGGGCTGGGCTCATTAACATGCATGCCGGCCTACAGGCAAAGCACTGCACCAGCCCA